TTACGTAACTTGTAATTTTTAGTTAAGTCACCTTGTCTCACGATAGCTATTTATTATAAACAATATAAGTTTGTTTAATAATTGCTAATTTAGATTAAAAATTACCTACTTTCAATTTCTTTTTAGTTGGTGTTAGTTTTTAAAACTAACATAGAAAATAAAAAGGAATATTCAGTGATAACTTAGATATGACTAAATATTGCTGTCCTTCAAAAAGGTTTTAAGACCACACGAACAAAGTGACGGTAACTTAAAATAGACAAAACAGTATTTAGCAAACAATTGCAGTACTTATGAGACAGTTTTACGACCTGTTTTATGGTTAGAAGAGTTTAGAAGACAATCCCTTTAAGTTTGACTAATTAGGTAATAAACGAACGGCTGCTTCAGTAACACCACCTAACGTTAAAATCCCAAAAACAGTTAAATTATCAAACCAGACTCTGTTTCAATCCTTATCTAAAACCAATTGGTATGTGCTGTGATGTTTTGCCGCTACGACGAAATAATACAATTACACAAATTGTAAAACGTCCCAAACAAAAGACGGATTACGTAGGTCTGTGGTAAACAAAATATGTCTGCCAACTTGTCTAGTGAATAAGGTACTTAACAATGGCAATAGCCCGAGGTAAACTTGAATATTTTGTTTTTATAATAACTATCCTGAGACAATCGTGAGACGATCGTTAAATATTTTGTTACTAGCATTCAAGGACTTGAAATAATCCTCTTTCGGATTTTTTTGTATTGATCTAAGCACGTGTCATTTTAAGAAAGTTTTACACTTATTATGTCGACTAACTTTTAAGGGGGTACACCGTCCAATTACTTCTCCCGCCCGAGTGAGGCGAATGGGAGTGTCAGACTCTTACTGCTACTCTTACTTTACTAAAAACCGCCCTGTTCCTACTCCTGCACTTTGCCCCGGCAACCCGTTAACTTTAACGGAGGACTTTAACTCTAAGTTCTTTTCTATGTAGGTAGTAATAAAAATCGATCATAAGATATTTAGCAGAAATTGGAAAGCAGATGTCTCTGATTAACATGAATCGTTTAACTCTAATTTAGAATAGACTCATCGGTAGTCCAACAGTAGATGTTCTATTATTTATGTTATGTTACGAGTCCCATGTAATAGGGGGTGAGCCTATTGATATATACCAAGCACATTTCCAGACTCCGTGCTACTACTGAGATTTAAAAAACCCAGTAATTCTTTGCCCGACCCGGGTATCGAACCCGAGACCCCTTGCCCGGCCGTCGACTTGCGACCTCTCGGCCAACGACGCAGAGAGTGATGAAGATGAGTATTCTATAATTTCTTTGTTTCGCGATTCTATATCTACAATGCAGTAAATTTTAGGAAAAACACGTTTAGCGAAAGGAAATATTAATAACGACATAAGTGGCCATGGTACTCAACCACAGAACATACTAATAACATAACATAACATCACGCCTTTTTATGCCCGAAGGAGTAGGTAGAGGTGCACATTACGGCACATAATGCCACTGTAGAATGTACCACTCACTTTTCACTATTGTTATGAGTCCCGTGTAATAGGGATAGTAATAATAAAAAAAAATAAAAAAACCTTTATATGTTGGTAAGGTAAGGTTATGAAAATGAGATATTAATAACGGCTGATGTCGTCGTGGTACTCATATCTATTCATTTATGGTGTCCTAACGTGGACACGTGAGTGGACACTCTGTGAAAGAATATTTAGGTATAAACAAAGGTGCATTTTCCAACCTCTTGAGAAACCATGATAGAAGCCAGGTATCAAGAAACGGTCTCCGTAGCTGAAACCGGCATAAAGGATTATTATTATTATTCTATACAATATACATTAGTAAAGTTGGACAATTATGTTTTATGGCATGTTATGTTCAATAATAAAATCCTGCCTTTGTTCCATCCATTCCTAGTCATGAGATAATTTGTGCGAGCGCGTACACAATCGACCAATACAAATGTGACCACCGAAGACAGGATTAACTCGTCGAGTACCGGTTTTATAGACACAATTAAAGAACAATAGGTCGCGGTCACCGGTGACCGCTTGGTGTTTGACAGTTTAACTGTTGTAGAATACCGCTATTTTATGAATTTGTACGAGAAATAATTATTACCTATTATTATTATTTACTTTTAAGTAGCCGCTTTTTCAAAATACCTGCGTGTTATTTTATTTTGGTTAAAACATCTAAGTTAGATTAAAAGTAGTAGGATTCTTTCTTGAATATTTTGACTAAGTAACACTTATTGTTTTCTCCCAATAGGTATCCTAATGGAAGTTATTATTCATGGGCCACAACATTATTAGGTATTGATTACATCCGATACTATACCAAAAGTTTTTAATAGCTGGCGCTTGTTATGCGCGCATTGTTATGTTATTCTTAAATATTATGGACCGTTAATTTTGATATTGTGTTGAAAGTCCAATTACCTATACCTGTTTATTGAATCCTGGCACTAACTCTAAAAGGCCACACATCTAATATCCTACTTACAACAAGGAGCCAGGAACAATATCAATATTTTTTCTGACTCTGTTTTTAGCAACAGAAAGTTTCCCAGCTACGAGCGCGTGCGCACGTCGTAACGGCGCCCGCATGGAGCACCCCGCGCCATTTTATTGTAGGTACGTTGTGCGCTCCACATCTTGAACGCTTACCTTATATAACATGTTCCATCATTAGGCTACTGTAACAGCTGCACTTGGGAAATATGCTACTTAACATAATAATGTGGCTGCTTGGAAATTCCTAATTACAATTTTCTTGTATTATCTATGTAGCAAAAGCTAGCTTTAACTTAGGTACCTACAACGACTGCACGGTTAGCGCGGTGGTTGGGCAACTGGCTGCCGTGCAACGTGTCGTAGATTCCCGCACGGAACAACCCTTTGTGTGATCCACAGATTGTTGTTCCGGGTCTGGGTGTCATGTATATGTGAACTTGTATGCGTAAACATAGGAATAAATACTGGTTTATGGCAACGTAAAAAAAAGCATAAGACTAACAACTTCGTGAAGCGGACGGTCTATACCTACGAATAATTGGTCATACCTATATATATAAAAATGAAACCCGTTTCCCGTTGTCACGCCATAACTTGAGAACGGCTAGACCGATTTCGATGATTCTTTTTTTTTTATTGTCAAGATAAGATTTTTATGACAGAAAAAAGTCCTGAAAATCCTACGGGAATGGGAGAAACGGGATTGCGCGTACAAAGTCGCGGGCAGAAGCTATTAGGTACTGTATATGATACCTGTATCTGAAGCTCGTCTCCAGAAGAATTAGAGAACCCATGGCCGGAGGCTCACGCTGAGCCACGCATAGTTTTCATCACCATGCAGCGGTACAGGAACAGGTCCAGCGTCGCACACGAACATATGCAAATTGTTCTTTGACACTGAAAGGATACCTAATTCGTCGTAATGTCTGCAAAGTCTTCGCGATGAGACCCATTGCGGTCCTACGGAAAGCAGTAGACCATGTGAAGACGTGAGTAGACACACGCTTAATCACGCGACGTCAAAGGCGACTGTTTTACGCAGTTTTAGGCTTTTTTAAAGGGGGATTATCATCGAATAACTTCTCCAGCCTAAGCTAGGCGATAGGGAGTATCAGACTCTTACTGACTAAAAACCACCCCTGCACTTCGAGCCGGAGCCCCGGTAACCCGTTAGGTTCTCCGCGGCTCCGTATCGGCATCAGCCCTATTGGGTCCCGTCTGTGGTGGTCTGATGGCTCTTTGAGGCGTGCTCCCTCCTCCTTAGCTAGCATGACTGTTTCGCAAAAGGAGGAGACGCTATCCCAGTCCCCTTCGCTGCGGATCATGATCCGCACTAGGGCCGGACGTGAGAGGTTGCCATCGCCGATCACGTCCCTGAGTGCACGGCTGTGCTCAGCCGTCATAAATGTAATCTACTTATATGTAAGTACCTACATTGTACTATCGCTATTGTTAGTAATCAGATAATTGATTCTAAATAATTAAGAATTTAACTAACCCAGGAATTTGGATTTCGCAGGACTTTATCTAGGTAGTAAAAATATACCTTACTAGGTATGGCTCCGTATACGGCAACGCCTTAAACTGTCAAACACCGCGAGGACACCGGTGTCCGCACACCTATTGTTCTTTAATTGTGTCTAGGTATAATGACGGGACTCAAAGGGGGATAAAAGGGATTTCACGCAACATCGTTAAGAAATCTTAAGGTAGGTACAACATCATCTTATTTGAGGCTTTTCCCAATTTCGTTTTGCTTTCAGATTAATCTTACCTAATAAAAATAAGGATATAAAAATGACTACCTAAGTACTAAAAATTTTTGCTTCGACATTCTCCCTATAATGCATGTATATTAGGTACGCATACCTAACCTAGATCTTTGGGTAACGATATCCTTTATATCGTTAGTGGGTATAAGTATTTAATAATTTAACATAAGGTTAGACAAAACAAGTTTGTTTACAGCTTCGAGGAATATTTAAAAACGAATGTTGGAAAATATAGGAATTTACAAACTACATTTTTCCCAACTTTTTCATAAGAATTTCATAACATTGGTTATACCCAATTACGTAATAATACCTACGTACTTATATAAACTCGTATGACTCAAAAAGTAGGTATAATTAAGTCTGAAAAACGATAATAATGGCCTTAGAAAACATTCACTACCATTTAAATACACTTCAACTTAAAACATTAGCAAAATAACAAAAATGCTTTCAGATAACGATATTCTAAAAATGGCAGCTCACTGTAATGTAAATTCCCATTTTTACCTGAAAAACAGAAACGTATTGTTTTGCGAAACGGTGATTGGTATTCAAGGCTGAGTTTTGATTGGTCGGGAGGCGGGGACTTGGGAGCTGGGTTCGATGATTGGTTGGGTTTGTTCCCCACTGTGAGGTGGGGTGGGGGGGCTATCAACCCTATGTTTATTTTTGTTGTTCAAGTTAGTGAGCTATAAGCTTTCCCGGTGTGTACATGTGTGGTACAAACAGTACCAGTACCCGCGACTGTTGACGCGTAGTAAAAAGTGCAGTGGTCAAATGAACTGTGATTGTTGCAAGGAACTGCTAGAAATACCTGCATTGTGACTGTGTATCCGGAGTGTCCTTGGAGATGGTTATCCTGTAAGTATCCTTGTTTGTTTTTTTACTTGTTTTAAGTTGTTAGGCATAGGTAATTCTGCATAGGAATTCGGTATTACGGTATGGTTATTATTTCTAGTTTTAATTCTTAATACTCATGTTAGTCAAGTTAATCTAACCCTGTGTATAAAATTAGGAAAATACTTATTAAATACCTATGTAGGTAGCATATTTTTAGGAATACCTAAGTTTACTTTGAATAAAAGTATTAAGTAATTTAAATTGATGTACCAAGATATTTTCTACGACAGATAGGTACTAACCTATAAAGAAAAACTTATTATTTTATTAATTTAGTACCTAGGTACCTACCGACCTATTTAGAGTCCCTACGTATCTAGATATTTTAGATTACCTACCTATATTTGTGTAGATATCCAACTAGCATCAAAATAAATTTTAAAGTCGGACCAAATGGTAAATATTTGTGAGTTAATAAAACGAGTTAGTCAGAAAAACATTAAGTTTAAAACATGGACTGAACATAAATTCAAATTATAAATTGATATTGCTAATTTGCCTTAAGAAAGTGCATCGTCTGAGTAATATAGATACTAATTTCTTCTCCGTGTGAAGGCTTTTATTTAATAGTGGGATACTTAAACAGGTTGATAAAAGAAATGTACCTACTTACCTGCTAAAATAGGGTAGATGACTAAATTTTATTTTAATGAGCGTCTGGTAGTTTATTTAAAAACATTAGACACGTATTTTAAATTTTCTTACAGAAACGAATAGTTTCGAAGATATATTGATTTGAAATATCGCATGACGTCACTTTTGAGATACTTTAAAATGACGTAGCTACCTCCCACTCCTAAACTTTGATTCATTTTATCTAAGTATTGTTTTCTTATACGACAACATAAAAAAACATGTCTAAAATTTTTTTTATTACCTAACTGACGGACTAATTACATTTTTAACTTTCATATCCTATCATCATCCCTATTATTTGTTCGTGTTTTATCCGATTTGATGCATGTAATACTAATAGTGTTTGTTAACATAACACAAACCTACTAGGATATAAGAGCCAATACCTAAATCATAGGGTCAGGCAACTCGAACCCACAGCACTACACGCAGCAACAGATTGCTTAACTTCTGCGCTAACCGTGCAAATCCCGTTACAATCAGTGATCACAAAGATCTATGAGTCCTTACTTGTAGAAATGGACGTAACATTCATAATATAATATGAATGATTCGGTTATACAAATCTCGTTAGCTAAGTAGGTAATCAATATCGTCGATACGTCCCATCGCGTGGTTTCAATGGAGGTAAAACGGCTCCTTGGAAACAATGGCTAACGTACCATGGCTGCAACTCCATGATGCTACGTATAGCTACGTTACTACTTCGATTAAAGCGTACTATCAATAGACTTAGGGTCCGCATAAAGCCTTGTTGGTACTAATATCTACAATAGAATAGTAATACATAAATTATTATGTACTCACATAATAATTTGACGAGGAACTCGACTAGTTTCAAGCCATGCTAGAGGCTCATATTCATGAGCAGCATTCCGCGACCTACGAAGCGGCGACTGTCGCGCTGCTACATACATGAGTAAGCCGAAAACATAATAATTTTTTTTAGTATGTCTCACGAAAGTTACAATGCAAATATAGAATAGTAATACATAAAATACGAACAGCAGCCGAAATTATTAAATAGTCACATCTGTGGTAACATCTATGAATTAGCTCTTAATAAAAATGTCTTTAGGAAAATAAGACATTGAATTCACCATCCTCAGCCTAAAGCTTTAGCATGTATACACCTAGTCGAAGAATATTACCGGGGATAAGAAAAGAAAAGAAACTCTGAAAGAGCCGCCTTAAGCGTCACCCTATTTAGGTTCCCATCGTACGATTGAACGATGCGATTTTGTCGCACGATGAGATTAAAATTAAACTCTTTAAGGGATGATATTTCAACAGGTTAGTGTCCTAATTGAAGCTTGCAAATCATCACGCGAGCTAAAGGTTTAAACATCATCCCATATATCCCATAATAACATAACATCACGCCTTTCATCCCCGAAGGAGTTGACAGAAGTGCACATTACGGCACCTCATAATGCCATTGTAAGTGTACAATGTAACACCCAGTTTTCACTATTTATGTTATGAGTGCCATGTAATAAGGGTGAACCTATTGCCATATACCGGGCACAATTCCAGACGCCGTGCTACTACTGAGATTTCTTAAAAAACCAGCAGTACATACCTACTTTACCCGACCCGGGTATCAAACCCGAGACCCCTTGCCCGGAAGTCGCACTTGCGGCCACTCGGCTAACGAGGTAGATGGTTCTCTATTACACAATAATATCAATTATATTTTAATACAACTCAGAACTTTATAATGTAACACTAGCTTTTTTTTAAGGGGGGAAAATCATCGAATGACTGCCCCCGCCTGGGTGAGGCGGAAGGGAGTGTCAGACTCTTACTGACTAAAAACCACCTCGTTCCTTCTCCTGCACGTCGAGCCGGAGCCCCGGTTACCCGTTAGGTTCTCTGCGACATGTAACGCTAGCTTAGGTACTTATTTTGTAGATAGGTACTTAGTTTAGCTAGTACTAAAGTACATAAAAGTTAGTAATAAACGCAATGTCCGTTTGTATCGTAAAATGCACATAACAACCATTAACATATTGAACATCAATAATAAACATAAAATAAACGAGTAGACAAGCCAGGCAGGGTTGGGGAAGGTGCTGGGAGCCAATTGAATTTAATTGAAACTCATTGTAATCGTGACGTTGTGCTGCAGCGTTGAGGCCCTAGTTTAGTTTATTTTGAATTTGAAGTTACGTATGCTTTGCTGTTTTTATATTTGTACTAGCAAACCCGGCGAACTCCGTTTCGCCACCAGATGGCTTCGTTTTATATAGGTATCTAACATTTCGTTTTGGTGATTAAAAGATGAAGAATTTTTTATTTATTTATGTTTTATAAACCTCACGGAGCCCGAGACCTTTCCAACGAATGCAAAACCGTGGGAATCGGTTCGTGCATTCTCGAGTTATAGCGTCAGGAAGGAAAACCTGACTTATTTCTATATAGTAGATTTTTTACAACAATACTTATTCGTTAATTTTCTTCTACGTCGTAAGTGCGTTTTAGAAACACTATTTCACAATATCCGGATCAGAAAGATACTTAATAGAAATAATAGTTCATAAAGAAGTACGGGACTCGAAATTATAAGCTTGATATGAGACTGATAGGAATAAGTTGCTCAGGGAATTGAAATTGAACAAGAACGATATAGGTAGGTACATTCCGTGGAATATTAAATGAGCCGAGTACTGATAATGCGAGAATATTATTCAACTTCATGGCTCTGATTCATTGATTTCTAGTTGATTTATACACTCATTAGGTTACGGTGGGACTGACATACGCTGTGGGGTATAAAAGTCCCTAAAATTAAAAAGAAAATTTAAATTAAAAAACGAACTTATAACCCGCTTACGTTGCGCAATAGCCAGTGGCCCAGTCACTGTTTTTTCTCCATTAAATACACTTTTTTTACGTATGTAGGATAGGGTTTTAGAAGACTAGGCTAAACATAAAAAAACATTAATTATCTTGAAACATTGTATAGCTATCTGATTGTATCTAAGTTACTTCATCTTGTTTTCATCTTGTAAGCAACATTAAAGTGATGTTCAAAACCCGATGGTTTATTTACTTGCTCCCTAGCGACGTGAGTGGATATCTACACAAAGTTATTTGCCCAATTAAGGCGCGGCCGCCCCCTTCAGACGGTGTAATTCTGAAGCAATTGCCTCAATAAAGACACGCGAGGGGGAACACAGCTTTCTCCGCGATTTAGATGTTTGCTTTTATTCTGTAAAGAACTTGAAAGAGCTTATGTTATGTAGGTATTCGTGTATTGTAGGCTTTGCTCTTTTATTAATTTCGTGTTAAGGGCTCCGTATTTGTAATACCTATATAGGTATTGATATCATGCGTGTGTAGGCACGTAGAGAAGAGTTTTAGTCTTCACCTAGAACATTTGTTATCTTCATACAAATACTTACCTTCCTATTATGTGATCAATAAAAAATCCTGACACTTTAAGTTAGGTGTTCGTTACACCAACACCAAACTCAAAGTTTGAGGATCATGAACGTACTAAGTAGTTGCATTCGGTGTATTAACAGCCCCTCATTTGCCTGGCAGCACCAGCAGTCGCACGGACATGGCAGAGGGTGGAGTGGCGACTCCCGACTGGGACATAAACGACGCGGTGGTACCACGCGTGGCCGCCTTCGACACCTTCGGGGAGTGGTGTGATGGCCACGTCCGACGAGTGTACCCGCCCGGCTGTGAAGAAGCACGCCGCCATGCCTCGGGCTGGGCTATGCGCAACACGAACAATCACAATGTTCACATTCTCAAGAAGAGCTGTCTAGGAGTCCTTGTATGCTCCCAGCGCTGCCGCCTCCCCGATGGCTCCAGAGTACATCTTCGACCCGCTATTTGTGACAAAGCCCGCAAAAAACAGCAGGGTAAGATATTCTTTTTTAATATCTCACTTGAGTATATAACCTACGTAAAATTGTAACTATCCCATCAGGATAGTTATAATAGTAATGTGCGTACAAAGTATTGTGAAGTACTAAAAAAATATTGCCGTTTGGGTAAGGTCTTAGCTATTAGCAATTAGAAAAGAAAGGTCTAACTAAGAATACGAATATGAATCTGTTTCCTACTTTACATTACCTTTTTTAAATTTACCTTTTTTTCTTCAACAGGCAAGCCTTGTCCGAACCGCCTATGTAACGGAGGCCGATTAGAAGTACTGCCTTGTCGAGGACATTGCGGCTACCCAGTTACCCACTTCTGGCGCCACACAGATCATGCGATCTTTTTCCAAGCCAAGGGGGCGCACGACCATCCGCGCCCGGAGGCCAAAGGAGCCAGTGAAGTGCGACGGTCACTGGGAGCCGGGAGACGTGTGAGAGGATTAGCGTTACTACTGGCGAGAGAAGCAGCCATAGCAGATAAGATATTGACAGTAAAGCCCGACAAACAGACACACAAAGTGTGCAACCCACATCCACAACCCCCACCGCTAATACCGGATAACCAAAGAGGTGAGTTGACGTTTTTGCAAACATTAATCATGTTTTTACATTTTCTGATGCTATAAAGTTATCCATAGTCTATAAAGATTTATTTATTTACATGTATCTATTTCTTTTCTCAGCAGTCCAACTGACGTGCACTTGTGGCCCATTCGAGTGCTCATGTCGGTGGCGGCCCGAGCAGCCCGCCGAGCCGTACGCGACGGCGGCGTGGTCCCCGGCGGAGCCCCAGTACGCGGGGTACGCCCCGCCCGCGCACCCCGCGCCGCCCGCACCCGCGCTGCACACACAACAACACTACGATCCAACCGCATTGCCCGCTGACGACATTTTCCACCCAGAAGAGATTTTTCAGTTGGACCAGCCGATTAGACTTGACTTTCCTCTCGAAGAGCACACGCTAGAGTCACCGCCGACGTTCGCAGATCTCAATGGGGAAATCTCGAGGCCTGAAGATACTTACTGGATGGATTGGCAGCGACCTGCAGGTAGTTCGGAATCGAGTCAGACGCCTTCACCCGAGCTTTTTGGAGGATATCCGCAGACGGAGTTCTGCGAGCAGGGTTATATCCCCCAAGCGTATTACCCTGAGGGAGCTCAGTACTACCCGACAGAGAGAACGCCGCCAGTGATGGAGACACAGGACCAAAGATATTACCGCTACGGACAGGACTGCGCACAGACCAACGTACCAGACCTGCAGTCCTGGAATTACACAGACTGCGCTTTCACGACTAACGACATGTCTGAATGTAAACAGTACTTTGATGCTCAACAGCATCAAGCTATAAACGGATTTAGCGGACTCTTATAATAGTAATTGTGTAAATAGTCATGTAAAGTGATGTAAATATTTAGTGTAAGTAAATCTAAGTTGTTAATTTCGTTATAAAGTACATATGTATATATAGTTTTATTATAAGCATTATGTTCCTAAAATGGTTTTAACGTTTTATCTCCTTCGATTGAAATGTGAGAAAATAAAACAAGTTTTGTATAAAATGGTCTATTTATTGTATATAAAAATTACATTAAAATTGTCAATTTTACATTTTTAGTTTCTAACAATAAAATTGGTCACTACAAAATAGTCCATATTAAGCGATCGCACGATTTTATTATGCATTTGCAGAACATTCCGAAAACCTTCAAAATGACACGTTACACGACACCATAATTTTGACGACACGCAGTCCGCAACCCAAGCCTAACATTGCAAATGAGTTCATTCGTGTCCAGCACAAATAAAACTATGCGACACACTGATCCAACACGACACAAGCATTCCCCTCTTACTCCAGTAACCACAAACCTTCAGTTTCCATCGTGAATTTTGGCTGATATCGAAATATCATAACTTAATTAAATTCGACACAATTATGGGTACCTATAACGATATCTCAAACAAGTATTTACAAACGATTGCGATAATATTGCAAGGTGCTGCAATATCGGGGCCAGTATTGCACTACTCCCCGACAACTCGACTACATCACTGTCTCCTACAGTCTCAACATAATTTGTTATAGTAAATATTGTGAATCTATATATTGGAAAATCATTTGACTGATATGAACGTTTACACTAACGACTAATTGAAAAGAAATCTGCATTTTGTAATACGGTTATAAATATACTTTAGAATTTCTGAATATTGCTAACAGGAGCCGAATATTATCGAAAAGTTTTACGTGTACAAATATATGTATAGCTAATTATTTCCGCATTAATTTTACACTTAACAATAGGCCCTAACTGATTAATTACACACGATTTAGTCAGTTGTACACGTAGAACCGTCCGGTCCGCGCCGGTCTCAGCACAGCGCTCTATCACAGCAGTCGGCACGCCGCCACACGGGGGCGCCACTTATTATAAGGCCACAAACAAATTTAACGTGAAGCATGTCTCTTAAATATACAATAACACCATCATTTGCGCTTCAAACGAATCTAGTTCAGTGTTAGAAAGGCTAAAACAATATTCGGACGCAAGTGTCTGTGCCTCACTATCGTTTATTTCTTCTCTCTGTCTCCTACCGGAGCGTAGGACGAACGAATCGAGCCAGCCCGAGTGATGCTCACTCTAGCGAAACTATAACATCATAAGTATCTAAGCTACAGTATGGGGCGGTAAGAGCTAAGGATCCAGAGCTGAAACAAGGGCGAGATCGAGTGTTTAAAGCATTAACATTGCTGAAGCCTATCGACAAATTGTAAGAAGAATTCCTAAGTGGAACGACTGTCCTACAGATAATCACTATGACTTAGTTATCAAGATAGTACTTATAAAGGTAGGAGAATCTTAAGGAGAATGTGACTCTAAGCACAATAGACACGTATCTAGCTATAGACATAAATAATGCTCTTTGTCGATTTGTGAACAAAGCGCAGTCTGAAATGAAATACACAGCGATACCACATATATTAATTTTTGTGCTAGAATATAACTTGATAATCACCAATAACACTATCCTACATTAAAATAGCTAACATAGTTTGGTATTCAATATGAAAATAAATGATTCTATATGAAACAAACGGTACAAGGAACTAAATATAACACAACACATCATAGAGATAAGAATAATATAAAATACGAATACGATCGCAACATAAGATCACGTAAAGCTTCAACACGACTAAACAAATTTGTACTATTGAGAAGAAATCACTGCCTAATTGAGATACGAACTTCAATAGAGGGAATCGGAGACGGTAATTTCTATATTATATTCTAAATACACGTAGAATATAGGAGAGAAAGGGAAACGTTGAGAGCTCGCGGGCGCGCGACGTAGCGAGCTAACTCCGACACGAGCGCGACATCGCCACTGACGCCTTGTCAGCCGAGCCACCAGAGACACGGCCCAGCGTACATTGAGTACTAAACGAATGGAGTAATAGGACACTTCACTAGTAACATCTGGTTACTGAATCCGTAATCAACTTCGAATGGCATTTCGCGACGGTACAAGCGTCGTTTGTGCATATAGCTTCGACCAATCCTTGCCAGGTAAGAAGTAATGTGGAGTCCATTGGTTTAGGTAGTGTCGGCGGTACTATATGTTGGAGTGGGGCGGGCGCCGCGCGGGGTGTCAGGGCGCGGCCTCCTCGGCCAGGTCGGAGGGCGCGGCGTCGCCCCGCGCCAGCACCGCCACCGCGCTCACCGTCAGCTCCAGCGGCTCGCTGCCCACGCAGCGGCCCACGCTGCACTCCATGTCCGTACTGGAAACAAATAACACAATGTTAAAAAGATGCAAAGATAAAAATAGAACGATATAAAAACCTACTAAATTCCTTATGTACAGTTGTAAAAACTATTACAAACAGCACTGCTGTCAAAAGAACTGGACTTTACTGGGCATATAGAGCAATAACAAGTCCAAAAAGTAAAAGTCCGTTCGCCGCGCATTGCTGCTCATGAATATGAGGCCCTAGCATGAATTGTAACTAGTCGGGTTATCTCGAAAAAACAGTTAAACTAGAAAGTCATAAAACATTATTAATCAATTGAAATGTATTTAGGAAAAGTTTTAATATAGTTCAAAAACAGTCAAATAATTTGCCTAAAAACATAATACTCACGCGGCGCTAATAGTAGAGAGATGCATCCTAGTATTCTGCCAGTGCTCACTGGCCTCAATGGAGTCGAGCTGGTCTTCCGAGTGTGTGTGCGCCGAGGCCGCGGAGACCGGGTCGCTGCAGGACACGGGCGACTCCAGGTTGATGAGCGTGCCCGTCGCTACCTCGGGCGCGCGCGCACTCTCCTCCGTCGCAGAGCTGGTCGACTGACTCGTGTCCACCGACTTCTGAGTATCTGTTACAAAGATACATGAACAATGTCCTTTTTAAATCACTTTTTATATTTAATATTAAGTTATTGTGTTACGTAATAATAATATGTACTTATAATGACATGATGACGAGACGTCACAGTACAATATTATTAAAATCTTTTGAAATGTCCATGCTTTAACTTGGGCCAAACAATTGACAAAAATAATACTGTGGCGTCTACTTACCATCATTGTTAAATGAAATGAAACCTGGATGGGGCTAAAGCAAAACATAAAAGCGAATGGTAGCAAGCTAGTGAGTGATGAAGAGAAATAAGCAAAGACCTGGGGCATGCATGTAGGTCAACCACTTCTTGAGCGGGCGAGCGTCGCCGAGCACTGGCAGCACGCCACCCCTCATTGCATCTGCAACGCAACGCGGGACTTAACACACGGTGGCGGGGGCCGACGGAAGATGCGACTTGCTTTAATAATGCACATTCTTCTGTTCCCTCCAAATTACGTATCATAATTTTAGGCCCAATCCTTACGTCCCCAAATTCCAAAGCAGTAATTATATTACACATTATGTTTCTCTTTACATTCTTATTAAAAATGAGTGATAATGTAATAAACTCCAATAAAATGTGTAGTGTTGAGTCCCGAACAAAGTATGTTAGTTAAATTTTGAATTTTGTTTTAAATACACAGCCGCTGAGTGAGGAGGGAAAGAAGGATAAAAGGTATGACATGACACAATGAAAACAATCTTATAGTCCCAAAGCGCCACCTACTGGGCCCACTTGTAACTATCTACACAGAAACCTTATCAAATAAATTGCAAAAAAAAATAAAACCCATGTATTTTTCCAGAAAGCTTAAAGAGGATAATAATAATAATTTTAGAACAAAAATGTTTCGAATAAAATATTTATTTATTGTGCAGTATTAAAGAAAGGTTTATAAATGTACCTGAATAATGAATACTAGAACTAACTACAATATAATCAGTCGATTAACTTGCTACAAAATAATCAGTCGATATTACTACAAAATAATCAGTCGATTTACTTGCTAAAAAATAATCAGTCGATTTACTTGCTACAAAATAATCAGTCGATTTTTATTACTACATTATCCTATGCTATAGATTATGGGTGAGCAGGAGCATAAGCAGACACTACAGTGATGGTGCTAGCTTAAAGACCGTGAGACACCATAAAAGTAAGATTACAGACACATTTTCCAAATTTCTTTATAGAAATATAATTCATCGATTTAAATTGTACTGCTATCTTTTTCAAACTGTTCAAATGTAAAAAGTTGGTCGTTTCCGTAACGTAAAAAATCATATAGTCAAAATATTATGTTTTGGTAGTTAACCGTTCAATGATCTCGATATATCTTTTTTCACGGCCTCACAGAAAACCGACCAACGCTTCACGCTTGCGTTGAGTGTGAGAGTGAGCCTACCGGAGGCCCAATCACAACAATCCTCAAATTCAGGTAATAATAGGGCCGTTAACACACTTGTAACGCCGTGACGTTCCAGGTGTCCATGGGGGATGCCGATTGCTTACCATCAAGTTATCCGTCTACTCGATTACCGGGTTATCCCATAAAAAACCAATCTTAACTATGAGTACCACTAACTACTAACCTTACCCCTCTCTTTCCAAACTTACTTAACAGAAGAAGATAGCAACATACATAATTAAACCAATGACCTTGTGCTTTGCATAATTAATATTAATGTTACACGAAATAGCTGTGCATGTGCACGGCACGAAACATAGCAATAATTTATGCACAAAATATTACCATCAATTTTTTTCCGGTTTTCATGACACCTTGCTGTAAATTTTTAATACATTTTAGTATAGTACTAGCCAAATTTTATAACCGTTTCGTTAAATTTGTTAAGAAATAATGTGATGTATTATATTATTCATAGAGAAATATACCAATCAAATATAAACTACATACATAATTCACAATATTATAAAATCAAATACATCAATAGAAAAGTTCGATATGATTTCTTTACCCAATTTTGATTGGTCACAAACTTTGGCAAGAACTATTAATGACAAAAAAAACAACAGCCATTTATACAATGATTTTTGAAAATTCTCTTTGAAAAAGCCTTTTATGGTGTCACATCGGCTTCAAAGGTTTTAGGGTATGAAAACACCTGTAACTGTTTATGTCAAGCTACAATACCCACATGTAAAGAAAAATAGAACAAACACACACATTAAAGAACACATAATCAGGAACTATTAGGTCAAAAATACTAACCTAAAGAAAGACACATAAAAATATAGAATCCCAAAAAATTAACACATAAACAAAGATCTCAAAAAAATATAAAAACATGAGACAGATCTTCGGGAAAAAATTTTTTGAACAATAATTTTGAAAATACATAATTATTATTAACATGCTACTACGTACAATAACAAAACATGAAATTAATAAAATTTTGCCCCATCAATTCATAATTTTGAAAAAGTAATTTTCACTCAACAATAGTTACCAATATATATCATCATTATTAAATTTATATACATGACGTCATCTGCACATTGATGACGTCACTGTTTAAAATAATTACTATGCCAACACTGTAGCTACACGGGGATGTGCGTGATATTTTAACCTTTTCAACGCCAAAGTGAAAAATAGAAACAAGGAATCAATAATTCATAATATTAACTTATGAAGGAGTAGTTATACAGATGGAATAATGAAACTAAATTCATACCATCAAATAAAATAGACATTTAACTGAGTTTCACGAAAGTAACTTTACGAGTAATATCTTATTATGTTTTTCGGCTTACTCACGTAACTATTTGACGAGGAACTTGACTGGCTTCAAACCTTGCTAGAGGCTCATATTCATGAGCGGTATTCCAAGACTCGCGAAATACTGCCTCGTCTGCTGAGTTCCTCGTCTTACAATTGGGTACTTGCCAACTAGTCAAATTCAATACTTTTTACGAACTGTCAAGTACGACAGTTTTCTATGAATTTTGTACGAGATTGTGTATTGTGACGTCACAGTTTTTTTGCGTCAAACAGCATACTTATTTCTTAAAAAATTGTTGGAAATATATACTAAAATTAAGTTGGTCATAAAATCTAATCAAGGAATGAAAGTGTTATTATTTTTTTATATTTTATTGACTGTATTGAACAGTCGAAATAATTTATTTTTCATTATGAAAGTACCCAATTACGTGAGTATGCCGAAAATAAAAATAATTAATTTAGTATCTCTCACGGACGTTATAATACGAACTATATTTTGTCACGTGTTACTTTAGCATAAAGATACAAATTCCTTACAAATATAATTGTGTAATAATGACGTATAAAAGTTTTATATCATAGCAGATTGTATCTCAAGCAAGTCCACTTGCGATCACAATCAATACAAACCGTTTGCAATGGCCAGCCAAATACAAACGTCTGCAAGCATCCCCATATAAATAGAGTGTTAGGAAAAGATACAAAATAAAATTTAAAAAATAATTTATATCATCTACAACCAAATTCTATGTATTACTTAATTTAGTAATATAGTACTTAATTTAGTATGTCTCACGATAGTTATTATAAAAATTCTATGTATTTTTATATTAAATACAATTTCCCGTAGTTCTGTCGTTATTATAATCCAGTCATTTGGTAAGAGGTATGGAAACTTCTCCAGGAGTTTTGAAAATTAGTATCATAGAGTAAAATGTTACCACCAACATATCTTTATCGCTTGCATCATTGCATTTTAATAATAGCGCAACATAGTCATTTTAAAATTTAAAAAAATGTTGCCCCACACTAGGACTTTCTCCTGTGTCGTGAGTGTGTTTACAAACGTACAAGCTCACATACACGCACATATCACACAGAGTTGCTGCGGTCGGGAATCGGACCCGCGACACGTCGATAGCAGTAGTAGTCGATTTTTACAAAACATTATTATGTCTTTCCTAATTCATTATACGGTAAAACATCACGAAATCAATCAAAAAATGTCTCACAATTTCATAATTACAAGGCGATACGAAAAGAGGTGGTAACGTTGATAAAAAAGGAGAAAGACATTATGAAAATGAAAAACAAAAAAGGTAGCGCAGACAGAAAATAGAAAAGAAAGCAGTAAAGAAATCAGAAATTCAAGTCACAAAGCAGTTCAAGACACAAGAAAATGTTTAGCACTAATTTTGAAAACTCCAGGAAAAGTTTCTAACGCCAATTTTCACCAAACTCTCTTAAAACATAAGGAAACCCTAAGAAGGTGACACTTAACGACAAATTGCTTTTCATCAACCTATAAGTAACACCTACAGGTAGGAGGGAGTTACTTTGGGTGCTTCGTCGCACTATTAGATGGTTTCCGAGTGGATGGTGAAAATGGTAATAATAAGTGTAGCAATCGACTGGGTATTTCACCGGAGTATAAAGTATAGTTTTCGAATAGTTCGTCTAGTCCATCGTTGTACATACCGGGGTGATGTTTGGGGTCGCAACATGGCGGCAGCGCGGCGCCGGCGCGCGGCGGACGCACGCGGACTCGGTAGAACCGGGACCCACGCGGCATGCCGTAGCGGTTCCCGCTCTGTTAGGACAATTATAATTATTAAAATATAATTTATAGTGAAAGAAAAATTAAGATCATGGTGTAGGTAACTCAATATGTATGTCACAAATACTTTGTCTGGATAAAAATAACAATTGTTACATGTAATTGAAACCACAACATAAAACACCCTGGCTCTTTGTCACCGTTCAGGTTTAGAAAAGTCCTAGAAGATACTCGTATCCTCTCTCACCCATTCCAGTAGAGACCTTTTTACCGATGTTTAGAGACTACTTTTGTATGAACAAGTTAGGTTATTAAAACCACTGTAGGTTAACATTTATTTCTTTCACATAAATATTACTTTTCTCTATCAGTCTTTCTCTTGAAGTACAAATACTACCATCTTCGTTTTATTTTCCAACATTTAATTTCATATGAATTCATCAATAGATTACTTAAAAATTACTCATATAAGAGGAATAACAATAATCCGTCTATTAGTGTTAATATCCAGGTTATCCTTACCTTTTTGGCATAACAATACTCCTTGGACTCGACGGTGGCGACCGCATACAATCGCCTTTCACTTTCGTTTTTAACGTTGATACTGAGATCAAGTGCCGGCAGGCTATCACTGTGCACGAAGTACATTATCGACGCCTCCTGTAAAATAAATACAAGACAAATATTATCAGGGACTTAATATGATTGTTATTACAATCTTTTGCTGAACTGCTATAATCTAGACCTTCGTCAATGGCTTCCAGTAACCTAATAATTTAAACTTCACATGAATTCGGTACTTGCTTTTTTTATTATATCTCTCGTGAGGCTGCTAATGAGGATAAGCCGTTAGCGGTACTGGAAATTATTTGAATTACCTTGTCAAACAGTTGATTTTTGTCGTTGAAATCAAAAACTGAAGTCGTATAAATTATTTTTCAATAATCACATTTTTTAAGTGGGACAAGCCTGTCACAACGTATAAGTCAGGATCTGCAGTAGATACAACAATGAAAACACCGGAACACTGAAGTCCGGCGCGTCCCAGGGACATGAGTATGTAGATATATAACAAATAAGCAGTAACCGACCTGCAGCACGGTGTAGTTGAGATGCGCGGGGTCCCACAGGAGCAGCACGGCGTGCCCGGGCAGACACGCCGACAGCGACAGCGTGCCCGCCGCCAGCCCGCACGGCGTGTGGCTGCGGGCGCGACGTCGGGACGCCTCGTCTCTCTTCGGGGGGGACGACCTGGGATGAACAAGTATTTTTTGTGAAACGATTCGTCTTAGCAAGTTATTATAGTTTTACATACACATTACACGTAGACCCGGTATGAAATTGGTTAAGTGACAAAATATGCAAAACCCAGCTTTATTATTTAACTTACTTTACGTATATTAAAATGTAGGTACTCTTCTGTCATTCAATAAATGTTGCAAAATAGTTTTAAAAGATCTTGGATACATAAATACATCTTTTTATATAGTAATAGAGAAATGATCATTTCTTTAAAACTTACCGGCCCTCGCTGTCTTCATCTTTGCTTTTTTCTTCTTCAGCCTTCTTTTCCAACTCCTTTTTCAAATCCTTAACTTGTTGTTTCAACACTTCATTCTCGTTTTCGAGAGACGCCATCTTAAACAAGAAATTGTAATTTTTAGCATTCAAATTATTAATTTTCATTTTATGAGAGCAGACGATCTGAGTAAAAAACATTATTTAAAAATGAATAAAAATGAAAACATGTGTTATTAAACAATCATTTATTTGTGTAACTTAAATGTCACAAAAGCTAACTTTATAAAAGTTGCGCAAATGAACGCATTGTTTGCGCAAATGAACGCATTATTTGCGAAATTTTGCGCAAGGAGAAACAACACATAATTATATTTCACTAAGAAACACTATAGCGTATCTTTAATATAATTATCAATCTACTTAGAAGCCACATATCTAATACAACAAACTGACGAACTATTCTATTTTTAAAGCGCATATTATTTTTTCTATTGAATTTTGTTTTGCAACATCGAAAGCTTACATACCTGAGTCTTCAGTAGAGCATCGAAATCATTGGTCTCCGGATCAGTTAACTGTTGGATAGTATCCCTGTACTTGCCACACTCGCGTACTAACGCGGCCTCTCGCTCTCGCAGCGCATCTATCTGTCTCTCTTTCTCAGTAAGAAGCCGGCGGGTAACGTCCGTTGTAGACATCGAGGATGATAGCTATAAAGCGTGGAGTGAAAAAAATAAAATTGGCAACCAAACTTGTGGAAATTAAAATAATAAATGATAAATTTGATAGAAAAATAAGAAGCACTGTCTGTTTACGCATCAGCCAGTTGATTAAATAATGAACACAGATGGTATACACATTTGCTTAACAGGAAAAGCATGTACGAGTATATAATTTGACAAAAATCTACACATTTAGGAGCCTATAACTACTTTGCACATTATTCTTTTTGCTTTACAGAGAACCTAATACTCATAAACATCACACAACGCCTTATGCCATCACACAACATCTACTTGTAGAATAGAAAACTAAATTATATGGAATTGACGTAAATTTTGACACTTGTCAGTGTAATCCCCATACATTTTAGTTTTCTACACTCTGTAGACAGGCGCTAAAGTGGCGTTTGGCTAAAGGCAATGATCCGAAAAGGGATCCGAAAAGAGGAGATAGTCAGAGGTGCACACATACAATGTAACACCGATATTTCACCCCTTTATGAGTGTCGTACAACAGAGAGGCCTTAGTACGCGTTCGCCCCTCTGATTGGCCGGCTCTAATAAACCAACCAATCAGTGCCAAACGCGGTCTCGTTTCGATTAATTTTAACGTAAAACAAACTCTTAGTACTAAGGCCCCAAGATAAGTCTATTTACCTAAAACTCTTTAAAGAATAAAGATTTCTAACTACAACCGAAAATTCTCATCAAAAACTGACCTGTTTCTCAGAGTCGTACTTAGCAGTTATATAGGCGACTTCAGCTTCCATCTTGCTTCTCCATTCTGCTTCAACCTTAGCCACAGCTTCTCTAATCGCTTCTTCTTTCTCTACTTCTGCATTTTCCTTAGTCTGCATCACGATAGCATTGTGACTCGATATTTCAATAACGTCTGTGCGTTCTATCTTCTCCAGACTCGATTCCGATGGTGAACGGTCCATGTTTGTTAGAGCTACTAAACGGAACCTGTGTAAAATAAATTGAATTTAAAATATTTTGCATGACAGTGTGCACTGACTATTGTTAGCTTTACCACATAATGGGCATAATACAAGGCTCGATGTTATCACTGAGAATTAAATAAGATAAAATATGCACAAATAACCAAGGCAACATAGCCTTCATTCCAATGTCAATCCCAAGGCCTTAAAGCAAACAGTCCGACTTGCGACTCAACGGACGGCATAAATATTTCATTTACTATTTATTCACCCTTCATAAAATGACTATTTAAATATCTTACCTAGACCGTAGAGACTCGATTTCAGCCTTATAATCCATGTGCATCTTCTCCTGCAACTCTTTGATCTCCTTCTGCTTCTGCGCTTCAATGTCTTCTAATTTCTTTTCAAACGCCTGTATCTCTTGCCGAGTCTTCTCTAGTAAATTCTTAGTCTCTTGGTGCTCCTGTTCTAATCGCTCTAGCTCTTTCTGATGTAGATTTTTAATGTTTTCTGTGTCGGTTTTGAGATTAGAAATAACTTCGTCCTTTGCGTTAAGAGCTGCCTTCATATCACTTAGTTCTAGCTCATGGTCTACTGTGAGCCTTTGGGTCTCTTCACGGAATCTTATCGCAGTCTCAACATTGCTCTTCTCCCACGCCTCCAATATCTCAACATACTTACTAGCCATAAACTTCTTCTGCTCGTTAACCTCCTCCTTCAACTTTGTCAACTCTTCGACTATGAACACAATATTCACCTTACATACAGCATACACTTTCACCAAAAAGTCTTGCAGCTTATCCATATTTATCCTATGGGTATCCATATTGTCCTGGAAAATAAAAAAGACCATCAGCATCTCGATATCAAATAAAATCTTCTACATTACATTAATAATAATTAAAAAATATGCAAATAAAAATATGATTCAGCTCATACGGGGCCGGTGAAGACAGGAGCAAACAAAATAATAAGAGATATAAAAGCGACCACTCGGGTAAGAGCCTCGGGTGTTAACAGTTAGTACTGGGCTGGAGGTCTTATCAGAGTGGCGCGGTCGCGGGAGGATGTACACCTGTCGTTCGTGCCGGCCCCATTCCAAGCTCGACGGCAGTGACTCTTCGATGTACAAATCAGAGTTTTCGAACTCGTCAGATTTCGGGGAAGTCTCCGCGGTTTCCAATATAACCGATAGTTTTCGCACCTCCGTTACCGTCGACACAGCCATCGTTTCAGGAACACAAATAGTAGACGTGTCTACTTTCTGTTTTTGTGAACTCTGACCGCCAAGTTTTTCGAAGTCGCCGGCTTCCGTTACTGAATCAAAGTCTCTGTGAAGTGGAAAATGTACAAAATTAGTTTTTATATCGATATCCACGGTACTTATAACATTCATTAAGAGAATCTACTTACTTTTCCATATCCACCTGAGTGTCAATATCTTTCCTTTCGAATTCCGAGGCGCGTATTCTGAAATTTGAAACATATTAAATTATTCATAGTTCAGACGCAATTCCTTCTCCACTATATCGAACCATATAAATCACTCATCATTCACATTCACAACGACCGCTTACCTTTGTTGGAAAAACTGGACTGTGGAATCCATGTCGTAGTTAGGCATATCTTCGCAGAGGTCTGGGAACTGGTTGGTGATGTAATCCACATCCGCCTCAGTAAGCTTTGGCAGGTTGGCATCAAATATTGGCGGAGCTTGTGTGGCAAATGTTGGTGGAAGCTCAGACATGCCAGGGAACAGACTGCGTAAGAAGTGACCCTCAAAGACGGTGTTGAATTCTTGTCGCCTGCTGATCTCTTCATCATGAATTTTGAGCAATTTCTCCGCTAAATCTGTCGCCCACTGAAATTTGATAAAAGACGTCGTTTTAGTAACCATTTACATTTGAGGTGTTAAAAGTCACCATATTTACTTGAATAATAATAATACTCATATACTATAATGACTCTTATTACTATTAAGGGTAAAACGAGCATTTAAACTGTCAAACACCGCGAGGACATCGGTGACCGCAACCTATTGTTCTAAATAAATTGAGTGGTATACCTTAAGATGTGCTTGTGAGAAGGTGCGACGTCGTGCCACCTCTCTGACAGCGCGCACGAATACATTGGGCGCGCGGTGTAACTGCGCCACTATACCGAAGTACCGCGCCAAGCGGTTGAAGCACTGGAACGATAACATCGCGTGCGCATCCTGCACTGACATCGAGTTCTCGATCATTAGGACCGCCCTGGAATAACACATAATTTATGTTAGTTGACCGTTTGTTTTATCTATTATTCATATTATATATTGGCTGTTTTATTGTGCGCCCGCGACTTCTTTTGTATCAATTTTCCAAAACAAATGTATAACACATGTTACTCCTTAGTACATCAGCTAACTGCGAATAAAAGTCCCGACAAAATCGGCAGCCAGCCATTCCAGAGATTAACCAGTACAAACAGACAAACAGACAGTCAAAAAATGAAAAAAATATTTTGTAATTATTTTATATAATAATATGAAAGCGGTTATTTCAATATTGCAAACAGACACACCAATTTTATTTATCTGTATAGATAGATTTAACACATAATATTTCAGTTCATAACTACTTTAAGCTTTACACTTCAAGGTCATTAACAATGTAAGAGAGACTAAATTCTTGTTTATTTATTTTTAGCCGTGCATCTAATTACACTCTGCCTTCTTAACACTTCTGTCTGCGCAAAATATTCAAAATTAAATTGACCGGTCCACACTTAACTGAGAATTACGTATACATTAAAATAAAAAAGAACAATCGTAAAGAGAACGAACAATCTCGGACAATACAAGTTCCAATAGTGTGTTTGTTTGTTTCACACTTGTTTGTTGACTTCAAATTCTAGAACTCATATCAACGAAATGGCTACAATAACCACTTACCAAACCAAATACTGAATCTATATATATAAAAGAAAGTCGTGTTAGTTACACTATTTATAACTCAAGAACACCTCAATCGATTTAGATGAAAATTGGCAGGGAGGTAGCTTAGAACCAGGAGATACTATACAGGAGGACATAGGATACTTTTTATAGAGTACCTTTTTTACATTTTACGAACGAACGGGGAAAATGGGATTGCGCGTACGAAGTCGCGGGCAGAAGCTAGTAATAATATAAAATAAATACTCACTCCAGTCTCGCCTTCAATATGTGTGATAGTTCATCCTTAGACTTGGCGATGCGTCGCCTAATGTCAATGAGAGTCTGGTGTCCCTTCAGTAACTTCCTCAGCTGACACCAGTGTGACTGCACGAGGGTCGGCAGGACGGACGGATCACATGCTGTGTTTAAGCGCTCGCGACACTGGAAATAGATAAGTATTTATCATTAGAAAAGTTTTTTCTTATCATTTTTTCTGTGCAATGTAGGAAAAAAGCTATTATTACATAAAAAGGTTGTGAAATAATGTGGTTTTAATTCATCATGTAAATAGATTCGGATTGAGATCTATTCTTGGCGTTACTTGTTTGTACTGAGTTTCTATGAAAACCAAGTTGGACCTAGATTTAAAAAAAAAAGATCCGTCACTAATTCCGACAATTAAAAGAACCTTAAATCGATTGAATAAATCCAAAGAAAACCCCAAACAAATCTAGTCAACCACAACAATTGGACTTGACATTTACTCGACTTTACAATTATAAAACTGACTGCCTCGTTGGCCGGGTTCGATTCCCGGGTCGGGCAAAGTATTACTGGGTTTTTTTATAAATTCCCAGTAGTAGCACGGAGTCTGGAATTTTGCCCGGTATATGGCAATAGGCTCATCCCCTATTACATGGAACTCATAACGTAAATAGTGAAAAGTGTACATTTGCGTAATGTACAGTGGCATAATGTACACCTCTGCCTACCCCTTCGGGGATAAAAGGCGTGATGTTATGTTACAATTATAAAATGTTTGACAAGGAACTCGATTAGTTTCAAGCCATGCTAGAGGCTCATATTTATGAACAGCATTCCGCAACCTACGAAGCGGCGACTGTCGCGTTGCAACTGTAGCAAGCGAAGCAATACTGCGGAGTCGAGTTCCTCGTCAAACATTAACGTGAGTAAGCCAAAAACATAATAATTAATTCAGTATGTCTCAAGAACGTAAAAATAATAGCATCTACTATTTCTTACCTGTATAAGTGATGCAGCCTGGTCGCGCTGGTCTCGCTCCAATTTCTTCACATCGTTCAGCAGCTGGTCCAAGCCGTACAGTCTTTCTTCGATACCCTTAATGTGCTTAAGGCCATGCATATTGGCATACTCCAGAATATGGTATAATTCTGCCTCACGCTCTTTTAGCGGATCCGCATCTAGCTGTAATTCAAATATTTCATAATGATAGACTTTTAAATAGGATCAATTTCAGTTGTAGATAACTGAAAAACTAGATAAGAACTTGTAGGAAAATAGTAATCAATATACAGTCAGCCAAGTAATACAGTATGCACTATGTAGGTAAGGAAACAAAGATTGTTATACTAAACTTTATGATTTTATATTATCCTTACGTGTATACTAAATGACTGTGCTAGCTGGACATGAAGGGAAAGAGATACGAATACTTCTGCTTGCAAATCAAGTCAAAGCATTTATTACAGTTAATTTTAATTAGGCACTTTTGAACCTTTGAAACGAGCCTTTGTTCCAAAGTATAGTTTCGAATTGGGAAGAACGACCAGAAACTGAAGGGACAATTCCATTATTGACGTTTCAAAAGTGCCTAATTAAGCATTAATTGCAATAAATACTTTGACTTTGAATAAACCAAAGTCTGAGTTAATAGGTTCCATATTGGAACTTAATGACACAATGTCTCGATACTAGCATAGTAACAAGTTTCAATATTAATGGTTTTACAAAAACTCCTATGAAATCGTAACCTTAAAACATTTTCTGATAAAGGTTTTATGCGTCTCGATGTTTCGATAAAACTTAATGCGTTTTGCGTACTTCGTGGATGTAAATTCAACCTTGACTATTGCTTTGTTTCTACCACATTCATAAGTTAATTTATTTAACTACAGTCGAGGACTGATCAAAATTTATGAATTGCTATATTTTATAGGTTTTATTCGTGTTACCACTAACCAAAATCGTTAGTTTGATCTTAGTGTTACCTTTCCTAAGTTCTATTGATATATCAGTACCTATGGTTCACCAACCCGAAAATATAAACTAGATTCAACTTTAATTTCAGTAGAAGTAGTGGATATTCATAAAGATCATTGTTGTATGTTAACAATTTCTACAACAGTAGAAATCATTAGGCTTTGCATCGTCCGTGTGAAACGATTTAAGACCTAATGATTGTGAAAAAAAAATTGTAAATTACTAACAATACTTACTAAAGCCAACCCTTTCTGACAGTAATCTAAGATATCCTGCAAGGAGGCTTTGTTCCCCTGCGCCAGGATCCAGTGCAGCAAAGAAGGTTCCTCCTTGTTCTCATAGGACTGCGCCTTGAACGTGACTCCTTCATCAGACTCCTCGACGAGAGGAACTGGCTCTGATGACGTTGCTGCTTCATTCCCTGAGCCTGACTGTCTTTGATCGAATACTGTGAAAATGTAAAAATAACATTTAGAAAAATGTAAGATTTTATAATTTATTTATTTATTTAGTATAAAACGTTGCCCCACATTAGGATTTTCTCCTGTGTCGTGGGTGCGTTTACAAACATACAAGTTCACATACACAAGGACACCCAGACCAGAAACAACAATTTGTGGATCACACAAAGTGTTGTTCCGTGCGGGAATCGAACCCGCGACACGTTGCACGGCAGCCGGTTGCCCAGCCACCGCACCAACCGTGCAGTCATATTAAACTAATGATACACCATTCACGCCCAAATATGAAAGGCTACTCAAATGGAAGTTGTACTTAAAATAGTAAGCTGTACTTAAAATTGAATTAGCCTTTCATATCGTGTCATCTCTGTCATTTTACAACGAATTTGTAGCAATAGAACTTTGTTTTTATAATAACTATCGTGAGCCATACTAAATTCACGAGAACTTTATTTAAGCGCGACTTATATTTGAGTAGGCTAGAAAACCTAATTATATAATTTATTTCTAACTCTTTCGCAATCAATTGAGACAGGTTAAAAAGAAATAGAAATATCTTTAAGATCATTCCTTTTTTATAAAACCAGACTTTAGATTGGATTCAATAAATATCTTTAATGCAATGTACATTTAATAGAACTAACCGGAATAATTACATTGTTAATTGTTTGAATCATTATTATTAATCTTAGTTTTTCCCAATGCTTAGTACAAAACTAGTATAACTATTAACTACTACTTTTTGTAAGAACTAACTTTTTTATACTTCAGACTAACGTTGGAATAGCTTAGTCCGACGTTACTCCTTGTTTATTAATACCGAATTTGAGTATTCTGAGCTTAAACCATGGAGTACAGTTATTCTTACTCTATTCTATGTTTATTAATAAGAAGGAGAGAGCTTAGTACGAATTTGTTTTACTTTTAGCGAGATCGAATAGAGACCGCGTTCGGCGCTGGGATTGGCCGTATTCAATAAACCAACAAATCAGTGCGTTTAGCCAAACGCGACTTTAACGCTTGTCTACAGAGAAAGTAGAAAACTAAATGTATGGGGATGACACTGACAAGTGTCAAAATTAACGTCAATCCCATATAATTTAGTTTTTTTTCTTCTTTGGCAACCGAGATAATTTAGTTATCTACTCTAAAAGTAGACAAGCGCTAAATGGCATTTGGCTACAGCTACAGAGCGCCGATCTCGCTTTCGGCGCTATGATTGGCCACATAACCACACAACATTATGCATTTTATCCCTAAAGAGTAACACCCACTTTCCACTATTTATGTTATAAGTCCCATGTAATAGGGGTGAACCATATACCAAGCACAATTCAAGACTCCGTGCTACTACTGAGTTTTCTTAAAAAACCAGTTATATTTTGCCCGACCCGGGAATCAAGAAATACGAGACCCCCTTGCCTGACAGTAGCACTTGCGACGACTCGACCAATGAGGCAGTGGTTGGCCGTATCCAAAAAATAAACCAACAAATTAGAGCGACGAACGCGGTCTCTATAAACAAACTTGCATTAAGACCTCTATACTTATAAAAATAGTTGTTTTTAAGTTACATTACAATGGTTATTATAATTTTTCCCTGTTCTACAATTATTCATAGACAAACTAGGTGAAGTGGTACGCGTTATCGGCTTTCCGATCTACCTACAAAAGGGTTCCCCTTTGCTTGAACTGTATTATAGATATGATTATAGATAAATAGAAAAATATTACTTTATTACTAGGCCATTTACTGGCTAGAGTATATTTTTATTGTTGCTGTTTACATAGCTCTTTCATTTATGAATTAACTTGAGAGTACACCTCCTTAATGAATATCTTCGCAGTCTTTTCATATTTAAAGATTCGAGTATTAATTTATTCATGTTAGACATTTTTAGACTCATAATGTTCGAGAAATATGTAGTCTTTTATTCGTGTATTAATTTCTATAGATTAGTCATCCACCAAGTATAAAACCCAAACACCGCGATTGTAGACAACATCCAGTTTAAAAACACCAACAATTCATGCTCAGTAGCCGAGCTAGTGACCACTACAGACAGAAAACAAACCAATTACTCATAACGAAAATTATTAATGAGATAATAATTGTTATTCATAACAACTATCACAATATTAGGTAGTGTCTCGCTCGTGAGTTCGCACGCGCAACTAATAATTGCACAACGCACAACAAAGATAAGCTAAAGTAGTCTAAGATGTTATAATTGGAATAATTTATCAGTCAGTGCCCTACTTAAGTCCTATAACATAGGTACAACATTCTCTCTACCTATAAAACACAACAAAAAAGACCCTATTACTGCGATGTGACGTCACACACCATAATCATTTCCGCTCAAACCAGTTTGCGTTAAAAAGTCATTAGCTAAATATAGACAGGTCGCCGTGATAGACACTCATTGACATTGCCACGATTAATTCATCGGTTACTCTACTGAAGTAATCAATTCTATCGTTCTTTCATTTCCTATATTGTCTCGCTGAATTGTATCTTTTTCTAGAACCAGTTCTTTAGTCTACAATCTTGAAGGACATATATCTAACATCAAACATTCAACACACAGCCAACGAGATAAAACATCCTTTGAAATATAAATGTAACAATCTCTAGAAAGAAAAAACATGTTCTCAAAACACCTTTAAACCGTCCACTACCATATTTGCTTTTTACATATGAACTCATTACACAAATAGCGATAATAAGTCGGTAAATTATGCAGTCTATTGTTACAAGTACTTACCATCTTCGTCGGACAACTTGAACGCTTCGACGCCAAAGTCGCTGGGTTTATTATCTGAGCTGTTGTCCAGTGGATGTGTGATCCTATAATGAGGACCCTCGAAGTCTGTGTCCTCGAAGACATCAAAAGCCGAGAACCTGTGAGCTTCGGCGTTTAATTGGAGTGCCGGCAGTATTGGGATCTTGCCCAGAGATTCTAAAACTTCGTTGAGCCTAGAAAATGAAATAAAATATTGATTTATATAGATGTAAAGGTTACTGACTTGTTAGGTAAAAATTGGAGAGTAAATATGATATTTTTTTCAGTTTTTTCCCGTTCAGTGAATCAGACACTCGAGATTCTTTGCCAGTTAGGTTCTCTCTCAAGGAACCTGTATTTGTAAATAACAAATCGAGACTCGGTGTTATTACTGTACCATTACTCAGATTTTTGTATTTCAGTTTCAATCATTCTTCCTGAAACTTCGCGCATTTATTGCTATTACTCTTGCAACCTAATCTTGCTGTAATGCGGAAGACATTTGTACATAGGTAATTAACATCGCAGAAAATTACAACAGTTCTCTTTATACACGAACGTAATAAAATATGGATACGTCTTTGTTTCTTACTAAACAGACATTCCATTTAAATGCTAACTTTGTTTGTATTACGAAATATTAAGACACATGTGTACGAAGATTAACGAAAGTATTCAGAATCATTGTTGTTTGGTTTGTTCGCAGACAGTTATCACGTGCCGATAACGGGGATCGCGCTTATCATCAAAGTTTGGTCTAGACAGAATTTATTTGCAAGAATAGGCTAAACTGGGGCGACCAGGTCAGGGTCAATGGAAGTCCGTCAGTCCGCCAGTGTCCCCTGCACCGAGGTCCCAATGTGACCCAAAAATACTTTGACATTAACTGGTTTAAAAACATACCTTTTATGGTAATCAAATGAGGTATGTTTGCATTGTATTCGTACAATGCAAATTTTTAACGTCCGTTTTGTACTTTTGGTGGCGTTAACAGAAACGGACAGACGAAAGGGTTAAGCAAAGTTGTTGCCTAGGTACTGCATTTTATTTGCGTGACGGGATTTAATACTAATAAGTGTGGGGGCGAGTCTATCAGATGCCAAGGCCAATTTTAGACTCACTTATGCGAAATTCGTGCAATAAAAAAGAAATCAAAACCTTTTGGTTTCAGAACAGTCCAATAAAAGAAATGTCCGACTCAGATACCCCAAAATCGCTTGATCGGATTACAATCGAACCCTATCACTCGAAACATAAACATACAAGTACCATATATAATGCACTAGACGAGACAAAGGTAAATCAATACTGAACTACTGCACCGTCCGATCAGAAACGCGGCACGTCAGTAGCTAACAATTTATTCATAAAATTACAGCAGAACACGGTCGGTAACTACCTGTGTTTAGCGCGGCGGGACATGAAACATACAATACCTTGTTATTACGCACCTATGTTGTACATATATGTACGAATTTATTATGTACTAAGCATTTATATATGGCAATCCTTTCCTTTTTAGTATAAAAAAATGAGAGATCTCGTGTGAACACAATTGTATGTTTGTTATTCAATCGCGACAAAGCGGTTAAAGGGATCGGAATGAAATTTGGAAAAGCGGTAGATGATGATCGGGAAAACACAGGCTACTTTTTATCCCACCGCACGTGCGAAACCGCTGACAGAAGCTACTAAACTAGAATTATACGTAAGGAAATATTATTATTCATCTGGGAGTCATTGGGGGAGGTTTTATGTTTAGCAGGGAATGTCTTACAGCAATAAAATCCAAGAAGAAATAAGTTAGAGTGGAACTATGCATAAATCACGTCCACATTTTGTCAGTCGTGTTGTTATGCTGCCTAGTCTAATGGTCACAAGCTCATGCAAGACTCTAGGGTCCAATTTTCAAGTCAAGCAACTGTTCAGTAGCTCGAAATTTGGAATTGAGCCCGGTTTATGGCAAAAAGACCCCTATTACATGGAACTTACGGCACATTTAGTAGTGTAATGTGGATCTAGGCACTTAATACGTAAACCTTGTGTCCTTGGGGACTTAAAAGGCAATATTTTAAGTACTATAACTATTTATTATGTTACTTGTATCGCATATTATCCATGTGTCGAATTTGGTACGTAAATTAAATTGAGTCGCTGGGTTGATAGCGTTGTATTTACTCATAATTAAGATTTCATAGTTGACTTTATTGCCAGTCGGTGTGCCTATACATTACCAAATGAACTCAGTATGAACTTGAACGAATCACATTAATACTGAGTTTTAAACACGAACGCAGCAATGTATGACCATTACAGTAATTACAGAAAGTATGTATAAATGTTAATATTGTTTTGTAAATAATAAATTAATTTCAATTGTTATACAGTGGTAATGTGTGTCGACTTATTTCTCCTAACCTCGGGGGTCAGCACGGAGTCTCAAACCAGTAATTTACGCGGTATTATAGTGACTATTACCGACTTCCTTTGTCATCTGTCTGTTAAGATGACTATGAATCAACAGGCAACATTTGTCATTGATCATCACAATTTAGCTCATAAATATTATTATTTCTTTACGTGTTTCTATGACAACCAAATGCTTCAGATAAGACGTGCAGGAGACTTGGTTTGTTACCATGTAGTCATGGGCAGAGCCGGAAGTATCAACAACGATAACGACGATAATCGGTTGCTGAGTCGGTAAAGTTCATAAATAGATCAACTTTACTGTCAAAAATATAAGGTATAAAATGTATTGAAGAAATTCAGGACTTAGCGACTGAGTTTTGGCGTTTAACGATTGTTATTGTTTCTTTGTTTGAAAGTGGTTATCTCTGGAACGGTCACAGTTACCTTTTTTTTAGATACGTACCCTCGACTTCATTGTTCAGTGTTTAAACGGTTACCTGTGCCATTTTTTCTAAGGATTCAAACCCGTAGAATTGTATTCCTAAGTCACGTGCAGAGTTACTGGTTATAGCTTTATTTCCATGTGTTAGAATTAGAACTTGTTGTTGCGAAAACTGTACTTTTTGCATTTATGCGCATATTTTTATTAGGAATGCTAATATTAAATGATTTAACTTACCCAGTCAACCTTTCGTGGTATTCCTCTTTTTTTAGTCGATGCTTCTTAAATGATTCTTTAAAATTCCTCGACCTTTCACAGAATTCGTTGAATATGTCTTCTAAGTTCGCAACCACCGCCGCCCAGCCCTGTTTCAAAAACGATTCATGAAGTTACTATATCGATATCGGGTCGAGGTCGATCGCACCGATTACTTAAACTAGTTACGAATGAAATACCTATTGACATACATACACTAATCGGTTATCTTATTACTTCAAGCGGTGTATAGGACCTCTCGACCTCACACAATTAATTCCATTAAGTTTTATTTGAGGGAATCCTCTTTCCGTTTCCGTATTGCTCATTAATTGTTCATTATTCATACAACAATTGTTTCAACATAATGCCGTTTTACAAGGTGATTACATACAAATTGCACGTGGCACAGTTTAAAAACTCAGCCCAATAAATATAGACATGAAATGAAAACTAATAATAAAAACTACACCTAATAATTTAGATAATTATGTTGTGATAGGCGAAAATTAACAATTCGCATAATAATTATTATTAATTGGAATCGCTACAGATACGGTATAAAGGTCCCTGGCGTCAGGCGATGAACGCGTGCTAATTACAGAAACTGGTTTATTAAGGATCGTATCTGTTACAAACTTTAATGGAGTTCACTGTTATAAAATATCACTTTTCTCATTAAATTCACGTTGTATCATAAACGTCAGACAACGTATAATTTCTCAATTACATTGTCATTAATCGAATACAGACCAACCAGTAAGTTTATTATTAATTTTAAAATTCGAACACGATAACGGTTTAACCGTCTATGATACAATACGAAAGCACTGAAAGAAATCAGAATCTTGGTACTAAAGTTATACTAAAATGATGTTACTTAGAGTAAAATATGAATAGAGTATGAATGTGTGAGTAAAGTATGAAAACTTCAACAAGTCTTACCTGATGTTGCAGATGCTGTTCATGCACCAGCTGATCGCAACTGCTGGACACATCAAGCGCGAGGTCACTGAACTGTTGCGCTAGAGACGCGCACGATATCACAGTATACACATTTGGCTGTAGCGAACAACACTTGTCCACAGCCGCCTTTAACTCTGCCACAGATTTGCCATCGAAAGCACTACGGCTTTCAATGGAGAACTCTCCAGTACTCAACTCCACTATTGGGCTTAAATCGCACACTAAAAATGGACACAACAAATTAATAATTCAAATAGCAAACAAGATAATATCAGATGTTTGTAAACAACTCCAAAACGTGACACAAATACTGATAAACAAACAATTTGTTACAGTCTTCAATGTATTTATTTAATCTACTTCAAACTGATAAAAAAAATAAGTAAGAGAATGGTTCTATTGGCAACATTCATTAAATATTGATGGCCTTAAATAAAAATCATGCTAAATTAGAATAAACATATGAACAAAGCTTTGAACTGAATCGTGTATTCAAATCATAATTTGTCACTGTTTAAAGTTGATAAACAACAAATTAGTTGTATTTACTGTTGCATTTGTTTACCTAACAGCCATCTTATGAGTTTAGTCTGACACTTTCAAATATGTTGGAGACATTTGGATAGATTTCCCAGCTCAAAAGTCTGAATAGCATATAGCCGTCATAGTCAAGTAAAAGGCTGTATACTTACTAGACTGGTTCAAATGGCTCTCCTTCACTGATGGTTTGCTGAACATATATATTGGGTTTGTGTCTGTGCCAGCACTGTATGAGGACACCATATGGTCCGATTGGAGAACCTCTCCTCCACTCACTAGGAGCACCAATGAGTTGGCCGGGACTTTGGTCTTTCTCTCAATAGCTAGTTTAAGTGAAGACACTCTACAAACAAATGATAAACAAATTAAATAATGATAATAAGATTATAGTACAGTCATGCATGTACATGCATAACTGTAGGGTTACCAAAATAAACCTCAAATATTGGAAAATTATCACAAAGTTCTAATGTTAGAACCTTGTTAGACTAAAACTAGATAAAAGAAATAATATTCGTAAAATTTCTGCTATAATGACTCAAGGTCAATATTTATGTCTGTTTTAAATTATACAATTGATTAATTATATTACACTGTTGCTATGAGCAAGATACAACAGGTACATTTAGTTTAACACCATTTTATACAAGTCATGATGACTGTCTTGTAACATAAAAAGTGTTTACTATTATTTATACATAATATGAAAAATTAAGTACCTACAACATGAAAATGTAAAAAGAAAAAAAACTATTATAATCAAAACTTCTTCTATACCACAATGGTAGCAAAAGAAGCATACGGCCCACCTGATGGTAAGTGGTTACCGTGGCCTATGAACACATGGGGCATTACAAGGGTCTTGAGGACACTTAATAAACTTATTCACTCTTTTCGTATCCCATCGGACAAATCTTGGTAGGGAGTTAATTCTACAGTTAGAGGGTCTGTGGGATGAAATTCATCAGAAACGGAACTGTATGGGACCGTTTTGGGTCCAATGTGTGAGCGTGAATTCCCTGTTGATGGTGACCAGTGATATGATAGACACTTCATTATAATAAATAGAGGAGAAGCTTTAAGTGTTCCTTAGAAATCAATAATGCAAAGAAAAACATACTTATTTAAAATGTTATCCCTGTAATATTGTTGTTAATACTTACTTTTGCAGTGTTAGTCCCATGTCATACGTGGTCATTTGACCAGCATCAACATGGAAAACATACAGCATGGTGACGGTACGTTTGACTTCTTCACAGCTAAAATATAATACACCGTAGTGTAACTACCACTTGAATTAATCTTGTGTCCCAGAAAAATGGACCCTAAAAAAAAAAAGAGAAAAAGATTAGCAACACTACTACAATAAATCAGGCCGAGCATGAGTCATGAATCCGCCTCAACCGAGGTTCGTTTATAAAAAATGCAGAAACTAAATGAGTTTTATATAACCCTCTCAGAAATGTTTATTTTATTCTGTATTAACTATTTGTTGTTGTAGCGGGCAATGGAATACATCATCTGTGAAAATTTAGACTGTTTGAGCTAGCAGAGTAAGTACTACAAACAACTCAGCTGCTGACAGATAGACAGACAGACAGACAGCCTGCAAAGTCAGTAAAAGGGTTCCATTTTCCATTTTTACATTTTGGGTACAAATCCAGTACAGAATCATAGAAATAGGATAACTGATAACAAATGATACTATAATATTTTTGAATATTTCTGACCCACATTATGAAATATATACTAATTTCAAGGGCAATTTAAAATGTATGATAATTTCAAGGGTAATGGTAGAATTTTATTTTAATGTTCAGTACATTTAATCAATTATTTTATTTTATAATATTACCAATTAACTCGTCGAGTACCGGTTTTATAGACACAATTAAAGAACAATAGGTCGCGGTCACCGGTGACCGCTTGGTGTTTGACAGATTAATTAATGGTTGTTTTAGTGTTTGAATAATCTGATAATTGTTTTTACATTGATGCAAGAATATTTTTTTAATTTATATGGGAGTAATAAACTTTGCATCATAGGACCAATGTTATCTTATACCTAAATGTTTGCATTATTTGTTGATTTAGTAGTTAGCTATGTTAACTATGATTACTTCTATTCCAGACCCACCATAAACAACACTATCTACATTCTAAACAACGCCGACCTATATCCATTCACTACAAAAAAACGATGCTATAATATGAAATAAAATAATAATGTTAGGACAAAAATAATGCAATACTAACAATTACGATGTAATGACTTAATAAATCACTACACAATATTGAGTAAGTAATAGCAAATAGCATCATTTGAAACATTTATAAAAAAAGCTTGTAAAAAAAGCACACGCAATACAAATCTATTCTATCCTAAAATAAACAACAACGTCATAGATTGAACTAGGTAAGTATCTGCACAATCTGTATATTTGTAAACTTTATGTAATAATCACTGTAAAAAATAATTACAAACCTTGATGCAATACATTAACACGTTAATAGAACAACAGACTAGACCATCTTAGAAACCAGTCCAGTTTTTGCGTTTGAAAAAAAATTTTAACAACAAAGATTTAGTACTTACGCAGTCCAGAATCCTCCGAAAAACTCCTTAGAGCATTGTTAAATATTAAAATATGATGCATAAACACATATTTCTATTCATCACGTAAATAATTAACAAACACTTAAAAGGAAATTACACCAGTTCGATGGGCTGTTTATAATTTTAGCTCTCGAAAATGTAAAAACACCACCATTGCTCAACTCAATAATCACTCAGCTGACATGACAGCGCACACTGCATACATACTCACAACAAAAACATTGAACTATGTAACTCTAGTGCCGTCCTTGTTTTACTCGGGGGTGTAACGTATGCCGCTCTCTATTCAATGCTACACATGCACGCTTCACTAAAGCATTTCAAATATTTGAAATGTCAAGCTTCAAGCTTTCAACAGAGCGGAAGTTTGGCAATGTTACCATTTATAAAATATATGGAATATAACGTAATAAATTAAAATCCTACCAAAACAAAAGTACAAATCAAATATGCTTGTTAATATTTTAAAAAAAGCTCAGTATATAATTTTGATTATTTTTTAAATTCGGAAAATAGTATAGATATACAGATACAAATGTTATTTGGTTTGTTATTTTTTATGAGAATGGATCATAATACATATTATTGTACATAGGTACTAAGATCTCTTTCTTGCGACATGGGTTAAAGTTTTCAGAAGCCACAAATACACAACACTATATTTCTCCTAATTATGCTATAATAAGTATAGGATGGTCTTCACACGGTACTTATTTACAACCTAGCGTTATAGGATCATTAATGTTTCTTTTATGGATTCGACATGAGCAGGGATAGATATTATCAATATAAAAATATAATTTAATAGGTACTGTCTTAATAATATATTTTTGATCTTAAATCCAATCTAATCCAAGTAAATAAAACAAATATTCATTACCACATCATTATCATCAACAGCCGGAAGACGTACACTTCTGGACAAAGGACTCCCTCCTAGTCCTCCATGTTAATTACCATGAGTCTCATAATATCAACTTTGTCACGAATTATTAGTCCATGTTACGATAGCGCATAGGCGTAAAGCTCTCCTTTTTGCATCGGCTAAGTCTATTAAACACCTTACTTTTTGTGGTAAACTGCTTATGTAAAAGAAGCAGGAGCTGAAGTTGAAAACTGATACGCTTTACAAGTAATGAAAGATTATTTAAAATAATTATAGATAATAGATAAAGTGTTTATAGGAATTCGTGAACACCATAATATAATATTCCAAAAAAAGTTTATAGCCTGAGATTCGAACGAAAGAGGTCTTGTTTTCTAAGATTGTTTTGTCTGCCATCTAGGAATACCATGTTAAAACTTTTTAATTCTTGTTGTTCTTTAGTCATCAAAGTATAGATGGCGTTGTTCGCTATAATTGTTCTCAAATAGTCAAAAATACTGTGTAAATATTTGCTGATTCGAAATAAGTCAGAGCATGACATAGCTTTATTCAATAATATACATGACTTGTAAATTATTACTTGCTATGATGAAGCATGATAGTCGGATTGATTATTCTAAAAACTCTTGATAACTGTGACTTGATCGAGACTAACGATAAAGGTATTTATGTACTTCTAAACTATCAGGGAAATAAAATAAATTTTCAGCACCATACTGTTTATTTCAGCGTCAAAAGCTTATAGGATACAAAAATGAATGAATAATGTTTACAACATAAAATAAATAATTCTCCCAAGTATAATTATACAGATCAATAATGCAAGTCAATTCAAGGGGTGATCACCTTTACAAAGGGTCAAAGATTTATTATGCATTACATTGGCACAAAGTCCTTTACAATAAATAATAATGAGTGAATCCAATAGGAACAGATCAATAACAATACCTACATGTGGTAAGGGACATCATAACAACACATTTTTAATTATAGTTGCACTAAGTACCTACAATAATAATGCTGTTTTTATAGACTTAGATTGTAAGAAAGAATCATACATTTTTAATCAAGAAAAAGAATCGGAGATACCAGTACTCTAGCAAGAATCTTGCTGTGTCATGATGTCACTTCCACTCACAATATCAACAAATCATGTACTCTAAAACAATTAACATATGTATGAGCAGGCACTTATAAAATACAATCAATAACCAAGGATAAAGATATCAAAATAAGTATTTGATAATGTTCAATAACTTCCTCTTATTAATGACCAATTATTTCACTTATATAAGCAAAAATCATAAACACATAAATTTATACAAATTTAAACAAATTTTTCATTGCAATTTATAATAATTTAGACACTATTTCTTAGAAGAAAGTATGCAATCCAGTGGTGTCAAATATTATGTATAATTCCCATTTTAAACCTCTATATAAAAACTTTTAAACTTAGTGCTAAGTAGTATATAGACAGTATAATTGTATAAAAATAATCAAACTATTAACATCACAAGATAATATCAAAGCTACCTTATTATATAAAAGATACAGACCTATGGTCATGTACCACAATAATTTTTACAAAGTTTTTTATAATATTTGAAATCACAAATGCGTAAATATTTTGAAACGGATAGTTTTGGTTTTAAACCAGTGTTTTTAACTTCCTTTATGGTGTAACACCAATGTTCAGCAAACAATAAGCTGCTAGTACTTTTGAAGTAGTTGCAACTCGTATAAAGATTATTTATAAAAAAGACCACAGGTATACATTGTATTAAACTATTACAATTTTTCTGTTGAATAAAAAAATATCATAAACATAATTATTAAAATTGCATTTAAAGGCAATATAAGATTAGTTAATTTCTTTTTATCATTACTTTTGAACATGAGATAACCTGACCTTATTTATCTTAAAATAATTTGATCAGAGGTAACCCCCACTTGCGTTTCACGTGATTATCATACCTTACATTAATTTGTCACAGTAAATATCAGGCAGTTTACAGAAGTGGATAAGGCACTCGCACAACCATTGTCATGAATTTAAATGGTCCCTTTAATCTACTACTATTATTAATATCATGCAACAAATTGTAAATACAATGAAAAGAAATATTCTAGTATTAAAGCAATACTTTCACAAATAATTCTATGTTAGTTGCAGTGAAGGAATGCAGAGTAATAAATAAGAGAAATTATAAATAGTTGTGATAAAATTGGAATGTACCTTAAACTTAGAGAACTGATTACATCTAAATGTTATAATTTATTATGCAATATCATAATATCAAAAACCACAAAAGCAAACCACCACCATCAACTTTAACCACCAAACTAAAATTTTCCTTAAGATAGAGTAGGCTTTTGCCATTTGTATGAACCACTGTACTTAAAGTCGTAGGAAGCAAGTTTGCTATCTGCAGCTGGAGGTCCACGGGATCCATACACATAAGGAACAGGTTTAATACGCTTGCCTTCTAGTTCTTTCAGAACAGGCGTAAATATACGCCAAGCCTCTTCTAATTCATCACTTCTTACAAAATGCATTTGTGTGCCAGTGAATACATCTAAAATAAGTCTCTCATATGCATCAGGGACATCTGTTTCTTTATAACGCATGCTGTAAGTAAGGTCCAATTCAGTTTCCACAAGGTCAAACTTCATTCCAGGTGATTTGCTCATCATCTTCAAATATAGAGCTTCACCAGGCTGAACACGAATCACCAACTCATTCCTCTTTGCATGCCCATTAAAGATGTCACCAGGTACATCTTTGTACTGAATCCTTACCTCTGCTTTTCTCTCATTTAGAGCTTTTCCACATCGAAGAACAAAAGGTACACCTTGCCACCTAGCATTATTAATATGGAGAGCAGCGAGTGCATAAGTAGGTGTCACAGAATCTTTTGGCACAGTTGGGTCCTCCAAATATCCCAACTTTTCTTCACCTTTCCCTTCAGGATTGCCTACATATTGTCCAACCAGGATATCATTCAGCTGAATAGGGCTAATGTGGCGTAATACTTTAACTTTTTCATCTCTTATATCATTTGGATTCAGTGTAACAGGTTTTTCCATGGCCACAAGTGATAAAATTTGCAGAAGGTGATTTTGCATTACATCTCGAATTATACCAAAGTCATCAAAGTAGCCACCTCTACCTTCAGTACCAAATGGTTCCTTAAAGGAAATTAACACAGATGCAATATTCTCCCTGTTCCATGAAGGACTGAAAATTTGATTGGCAAACCTGATAGTCATCAAGTTCTGAACCATTTCTTTACCAAGGTAATGGTCAATCCTATAAATTTGTTCTTCTTTGAACAGGCCAGCCAGATGATTGCTTAGTTTCTGTGAACTATCATCGTCTCTACCAAAAGGCTTTTCGATGATAACTCTTGTAAAGCCTTTAATGGACACACATGCATTTCGTATATTCACTGTAACATCTCCAAATACAGTTGGAGGCACTGCTAGATAAAATATTCTGTTAGCCACTGGGCCTTTTTCAAACTTACTAATGAGTTGGTTGAGCATTTCATAGTCAACTCTCTTGTCATATGAACCAGCAAAATATTCGTTTGCTTCCCAAAATTCCTTCAGTTTCTCTTCTTCTCCTGGACGCACTTTCAAATATTTTTTACATTTCTCTTTTACCTCAGATATTGTTTGCTTCGTACGCGCATAACCAACAAACTTGGTGTGACGAGGTAATAGATTGTCTCGATATAAATACCATATAGTTGGGTAGATCTTTTTTCTTGCTAGATCTCCAGATGCCCCAAGTAATATAAAAGTGTGAGGATATTCAAAATCTGTTTTGTTTTCCATTTTCACGTAGGTTATCCACTTAATAAATTATTGGTAGGTACTTTCTTTTCGTGCGAATCGCAGGTTATGTATAAGAAGCACTCGATATATATATATCTTAATCAGAGATAAAAATTAATTACTAAGCAAAAAATACAACAAATAGTAACGCCGGGAAACTCGACAAAATAAACTTGAAATTATCTTAGCGAAGTATTTATATGAAACTTTTTCAAATTGAAACTTACACAGGCGTAAAGTTATACGACTTTACGTTTATTTGATTGGCTGTTAATTTAGTTAGATATTTTTTAAACCAATAGAATGTAAAACACAGGTAAATCTTGATGTGACTGTGACAATGAGAACTGACCTTATTATTTGACATTAACTTGACATTGAAAATAAAAAACAAATACGTTCCGTTACGATCAACGTTCATATTTCTTGAATCATCAATCAGTAACTAAAACTTGAAATCATTACATACATATTAAAATATTCATAATTAAAACCGTAGGAAAAGATTAGTAGTAGAGTTAACGATTGAGAGACTGTTTTAGAGTGTCTAAGCCCAATATGTAACATTTCAGGATTATGACAAATACTTAAAATGTTTAAGTTATTAATATTTATTTCTAATTACCTAATTAGAATAATTCTAGTAAGAAATTAATAAGCTTCAAATTACTGAGATACTCAAGATTAGTAAAAGTGCGAAAAATTCAATACACACACAGTTGTTTCAGTACAAAACATAACATCGTTAGGTCAAGTAACATAATTAGCAAATTAAAAATAATTACAAAAATCTATGTCAAATCGGTGGTTCCAACATTAAAACTGGTTACTTTATTTGTATTCACTGATTCATTAGACTGGGATTTTAATTTTGTAAAATAAACTAAGTAAACTATAAGGATTTCTGAACGAAACTCGTCTGTGACGTGACGCGTTGTTTTATGTCACTTCACTGAGAATTAATTGAAATTGGGTTATTCGTGATTTCTTTATAAATATCAGCGATACTAAATGCTGTATTTCATAAAACGAAAGTTTTATTACCAGTGTGTTTCATAATATCTTTAAAGACATTAGTGAATAGCGAGGGGGTGTATAATTTCGTCTTCGTATAGGTATATTTAGTTCAACGACCTTGTTTCTGACAGGTTCATCGTTAGCCACTGAACTGTTCTATGAAAGTGGTATATCGTAAACGATAGATAAATTATATTCAATGATGGAGCCCTCGAGAGATTCAGGTAAGTGGTTTTGTGTTATATTCTATTTATGGAGAAATATGAAATCATAGACTGTCACTGGGCCCATACCCTGTGTGTGACAGTGAGTGCCTTGTTTAACATTAAAAACAACTGTTCCTACGAGCCAGTAGTTAGTTTGCAATGCAGGCAGCTACTGAATGTTTTGTTTATCTAAGGCATTGTGTTTAGTTTATATTTGGCACAAGACTGATGATAACACTTCTGATATCATGTGCTGTGGTGTTAAAGCATTATATACTTGATATTAGTCTGAACAATAACAGTATAGAAATATATACAAAATACACAGATCAGGACTAACTACAAATAATCACAAGTTTTCATTACTCTTAAATTACTTGAATTATCTACATAATCAATATTGTTATTGTAATCTATTAAATTTATTAGCTATTACAGTACTTCTTCACTGAATAGTTTGTTAATTAATTAATTGACAGTAAAATTCAATATACAATGAGAAGGTGCCCAAAATAACACCAAAAGTTGAGACATAGGTAGTGAAAAACCAAATATAAATATTCAAATAACTAAGTACCTACTTTCAATTTTATTCTTGTATTTAGGATTTTAGTTATGGTTTGAGGTCATTTAAAAATACCCTAAAATTTTTGGGATACATTCAGAACCCTGTAGTTATTTTATATATAAAAATTAAATTTATAAACACAGTAAAACATAGTGGTTAAGTTGGTTATGTATAATTAAAAAAATATATTCTAATGTTAATGAAAAAAAATCTAATTTTGTCTTATTTTATATTTTTTATAACATAAAATGGCTAGTAGAATAATTTTAAATTCTTTAGATTGTACATGCCTATTTATATTATTATACAATCTTTATAGAAGGCAATGAAAACAAAAGTAAAGCTGTATTTTTTAATTGTTGGTAAAACTAACAAGTCAAAAATAAAGTTTAGATAAGTAACAATATTTTTTATCAACAGTATCTATTACTTTGAAATTGAATTGGTTTACAAAATTTGCTTTAAGAAGAATCTATAATTAAATAATGGCAATTATTAAAATTTAATTACTTTGTATATCTTAAACCAAAATTTTAATCACTGTTTTATTTAAGTATTTAATAATTCAAGTTTACTAAAATTAGCTTGAAGAAATCAAATTGAAGTGTCCTTAAAATGTCCTAGATGGCGCTTTAAAATAATTTCATTATGTTCACTCTAGATGGCGCTACAAGTTCTAATGTTATAGTCCGTGATTGTAATCAAAAGTCTGTAATCATTGTAGTTGGTTTGTAAAATCACAATAATTAGCGAAAATACTTACCAAAAACTAACACGTGCAACACATTAGCACTTGTTTTTTTAATGTAGGTATTTCTTTTTAATATTCACACTGCTTACATGAACTGTGTTGCAGTATAATAACATATTATGAAGCACAAGCACCCATTTGAGGTCCATTTGTGCTAAGGTTGAACTGTTTCAAAAGTGAATAACTAAAGTTAATAACGACAATCAAATCCTTTTCGAAGTTGCGCTTCTCCTATCTTTGTTCTTAATCTGACAATCTATAGTTTTATTTTTTTTATTTTGGTGGGAAATATTAAGTTTAATAAATTTTAAGTAGAAAAAATTGGTTTTGCAGATCCCACATATGTATTTTATTTATTTATTTATTTATTTATATATACTTTATTGCACACACAGAAAAAAAATGTAAACATTTCAACAGTAATTAAAGTACAATGGGCGGTCTTATCACACGCGGCGATTTCTTCTTTATTAGCAATTTTATTCATTTTCCAGCCTAATCAAAGATCATTCAGACAAAATTTATATTTTCTTACTCATTGATTAGGTTATACATATTACTTATCGTAATTTTTTTTCCTCTGTTACACACTGTGTCTTATGTTTTAATTACATTTCCTGTCTCAGGTCTACTGGAAGAAATTCCAACAGGAATAAGTAGCACCTATGTATTCTAATTTTATAAATGTTTTATCCTCTGTACTGTTTGTGTGCACATACATTATTTAATAAATAATAAGTTATTATAATATAAGTAGGTTAGGTGCTCTTAAAATGATTTAACATTTAAAAAATGCGTTCTATTTTTAGTTTCTAATTAAACATTCTTTTTCATAAAAACTCACCTTTTTTAATATTTCTTTAGAAGAAAATGTAATACATCTTTTTATACCTATAGAAAGATCCCGTCAAAATTTTCTCATGTTTTGTTATTTCGCTGAATGCATATGTATGCACTACTGCTATGCTATGCTATACTACGAAATAAACGATATTAATTTGCATAAGTTATAATCATTTTATATATTTTCGAACGCGTACTAATTAACTAAAAACACGTGTTTTATTAACAATCAGTAATAATGTCACTGACAAACATAAATAAAAGTAGTTTTTTGTGGGAATGCCACAAGGTACTATTTTATGACCATCTAATTTTCGTCTGTGCACACATACCTATTTATTTATTTACGATAATTCTAAACCACGTAAAACGTCACAATGTTATGGCAAAATATGTATTGTAAGGTTTAGGTTCATTCATTGTTATTAGAAACAAAATTAAATTATCCAATAAAGATTTCCCGCCAACACTTCAAGGTTGAATCTGTCAAAAACACGTTGGTCGAGTTGTGAAAATAAAACAATTTTGCTTTGGGAAAGAAAGCTGACTGGCGGATTGGCTATTAATCTTGAGTTGTTTTTGGGAAAGGCAGTTGTTTACTTAATTTAATCAATTTTAAATTGCTTGAAATCAAAATCAACTGAATTCAAATTTAACAATTAATGACAGGTCTAGATGAAAATAAAAGTTCTAGAAGACACAAAAACATCATAAATCACAAAGTTAATCTCTTAGATTAACGTAAATAATCAGGAGAAGTACAGTTTATTGTTACTTAGTAGAGTGGCAAGAAAATAAAACTGTAGCATCACAATTAAGCCAGGACCTTCTAAGGTCAAAGATGTAGGTTAAGATAAATATTCCCTAATTTACAAAAAAAGATATCGGCCGTATTGAGAACCTGGAGAAGGTTTTTGGGAAGTCAATTAAACACGTCTCGAAACATGCAACCATGTAGATGTTGTATTTCCTAGAAATAAAGAGTTTCAGTGTTCTCAATAAATGAAAATGGTGAAAAAGGGATTAAAACTTCGCGTAACCCTTTCATGTCCGAATTGGGCTTAACACGGATTTTTGGCGCTTAAAATATGAAACGTGGATATAATTTCCACGAGAGCAAAATTTTATTTTAAATCAAACTGTATCCGTTACCTACTGATTTTAGAGTTAATTCAGATAATGTACGCTTAGTAACATCCATTGACTACTTGACATCATAATCTAAGAAGATTAAAATTGCTTTGAAAAGATAAGGGTCTTTCGTCGATTTATAAAACAACCGGATTGTTTTACGCAAAATGAAATAATACTTGCTCTAGAACCTTATGCTATGGTTATTATAGCTAAACATTTGATAGAGGTTAAAATATGGAAATAAATAAGAATGATCTCTTTAATGTAACTAAGAAGATTCCTTTGAATAAAAGATACACGTAAGTGCCTATCCAAGTAATGATTAATTAAAGATAGGGAGCCTATCTGCCAATAGGTTAATAGACGAGTGAATAAGACAGATCCAAGGAATGGAAAGGTCGTGTAGTCTAGCTGGTCACATTGCATGGTGCGGTTCGAAGGACTAAAGCACGTGCGATGCGGCGCGACAGGCAGCGCGGGCGGGTGGCAGGGCGAGGGGTGCGCAGTCGTGTGCAGTGGACCACTCGACGTCGCACAAGGTCAAGGAGAATGATTAACAACGAAAATACAGCAAAACAAACGGTGGCGAAGCGGGGTACGAGCGGGGACGCGACGCGCCAGTCAGAGCAGCGACGCCGCCCGCATCGGCCGCGAGAACGGCGCCGCTCGCGACATTTACGAAAATCGATGCACGATCCGTAACCGGCATTTAACATTAATTAACTACCGTAATTTTGATATTAATATTTGATGATAGTCGTTATGACGGGCTCCGCGCGCATTTACCACCCATGTTTGTGATGTGTCACTCGTGTTGACTGTTTAGGGTTGTCTCACGATTTTCAACTTTGGAAATAAGAGCGCTTTTGGATCCTATGCAACTACACAGCCGTAATTCATATCATCGTCAGCTGGTGTTTCTATGATTATGTATGCGATATTTATAGCTCGTATCTTCGCAATTTTTGTGTGAAGATAACCAGTTCGTCAACTTGCAATGCAAGTAAATAATTGTTAGTAGAATTAAAGATCAATTAACTTAAACATATATTTTTCTCGCAGATAACATTGAATTTAATTTTTTTTAAAACTATCTTCTCTTTTTTCAGTACTTTATTTTGTATTCTTTGCAGCCTTAATGAATTAAGAGCGAGTTACTAACAAAACATCAACATATATCCATGTTTTCCAATCAATACCTGGTGTGAATAATCTCAATAGTAATTTCAATATTTATTTGAAAAATATTTTCATAAATTACTCAATGTTTAAAACTAAATATAAACTTTTCTCAATTTATGATTCAAGTTAAAATCAACAACGTTAACATAAGCAATATAAACTTGTAATGTTTTAATGCCCTTATGTCTTTATCTGACACGAGTCGTAAAGAGCAATGCAAGGTTGCAAGTGTATTGACTCTAGTGTTTTGAATAAATTTATCTCTGTGCTCTATTGCTCTAGCTGCTGCATTTCCATTCTCGTATACCCCATTTTCATATCAAGATAAGACAGAACTTTCCTCGTTTGATAGTTTGACGTCAGGATGATGTAACCGAGCACCGAAAGCGTGCCAAAGCAGACCGTGATGAGATCGGAACCTCCACAGTTTCGTGATCACACCAGGGGGCTTACTCTTGAATCCAATCCCGATCGATCGACATTGGTATTGTGAAATTTCGTACTCTTGAGTTGTAACACTAGCGCGCTTTGCATCCGTATTGCGTGGATATTGAATCAACTAAATGGTATTGAGTTTGGCTTTATATTCCGTACTCTGAATGCTATTTTAACAGCTACGATAGGGGTGGTATAGTTTTGACATTGACTAATTATTGAGATTTTATTGGATTGAAATTGCATTGTCATTGAGATTGATTTCAAGAGTAAGCACCCAGGACTGATACTGACATGTCTTTACTTGCCTGACTAATGTGCAACCTTATAATAATGCTATGTAAGGCCATAAATGAACGTCGTTTTAAGCATTTGAAAATTTTCCGTCGTTATCCATAACAGATGACAGAAAACTTGAATATTAATCCTAATACGCTAATCTATCGGTCGTCCATCTTGCATCGTTGGCCTCTAAAAGGCTAAGAGGTTTTCTACTGCCACTACTTAAAAATTCAAATGGCTCTAAACTATACAAAATCTCTAAAAACATATTTATTGCAAGAAAAACTCCCGTGGGTCTGCCTTATAAGTCCTAATGTGATTACACAAGAAAACTTAAAATAAAAAACATAGAAATTAAAAATGTGTTCAGAATTCCATCTAACTTTAACCATCTATAAATATTGTACGGTAATTCTATGAAACAATGGACGACAAATGCAAACCAACAAGACAATTGTAAAATTACTACATACCAGTAACTGAAGCAGAACGTTTGATGTTTGTCGTCGTAAATTATAAACCCATGGTTATAATGAATTGATTACCCCTTTAATTGGCACTCCTGTAGCTTTTAAATGCTGTGCTTATTTATTTTTTCTCAACCTGAATTGTTTTATTTTGTGAGAAGTCCGGCACAGATCCATCTACATTAAATTCTTTGGATCTATCATAAACGCTTTCTTTTTGGATTTGTTCAGTAACGAACACTTTTTTGATATTAACACCTGTGTCATCGTTAAATGAAATCCAATTAAAAATCCACCTGAAAAATCATTGAACACATCGTAATCTGCATTATTATCGGCTATTGAAGCACGGTTATTATTTTTATAGCTGTTATCCAAGACAAATACAAGACAAGTTGTATCATTGTCAAGGTCTTCCACTATATCCATTTGAATTCATCGCCGCCCTCGTGGTATTTCACATATGGAATACTAATACGATGCATTACGTTTTTATGAACGCCATTCCATCTTGTTCCGGATTTATTCTATTATCTCCACCTTGCTTGAGACTCTTTAGGATAAATTAAATTATTCCATTGATGAAATTTGTTTAAAGTTCTTCCAACCATTTATCAAATAAATTATAAAACACAATATGATTGCGTCTGGTGCTGAAATTAATATCAAACCATTTTTCTTATTTAGGCTTTTCTCATCTCATCTCATTTTATTGAATTGAACTTCATTCTTCCAATTTGATCGTTGTTTTTGTTCTTATAAGTCGTATTTGTTCGTCTTTATTGTCATTTAACGTAATTTCCAAGCGAGCTGATTGAGTTGATTCTTTAATAGCGTTTGTAACCGCTTATTAAAATATTTTCAAATTTATTACAGCTTGTTAAGGAGTGTTTAGTTTATTGTTGTTGCGTGTACCTAATCGCAGGCGCGAATGCCGGGCGTCACGTCACGCCGCGGGAAGTGTTACTCTCTGGCTTGGTCACGGCCAAGGTCTCGTGTCGACACAGCGCTAGCGTCATTATGTAACGTTTGGGTAAATGATGAAACGCTCTACTTCTCATTATTTTTAATACAAACATATGATGTGGATGTTATTTTGCGTGAGCGATAAAATATCGATCGAATCTTCCTCGATTCACTTTCTTCCACGCATCACATATATTGACGGTAATTTGTTGATTAATAGCGTTTCATTAATGCATAGATTAATCATTTTTAAGTAGGTCCAAAGTACAAACATATCTACATTTCATTAAAACAATGATTAATGCCAGTTGCCTGTTAACCAACGTGATGTTACGCACATTATATTTTTTCCCATCTTCTATGTAACTATACAAAAATGTAACCTTTTCGGTGGTTGTTGCCTGATACGATTGTGTTTGATATCTCATTCATAACTCATAATCATTTTCTGCCTAAATAGTCTTCATCATAGAGTACTGTTGCTATTAGTTTGTAGTCAAATTCTGTTGTCTTTTTTCTGCTGCCCTTTTAATTGGCGAAATTAGGACGATCGATTTTTGACAACTAGTATGGACTTTCTGTCAAAACCGAGATTGGTTCAGAGATTTTGGAGTAAGATCGGAGATTAATTTCTGCCGTATATGAAATACAATTGGTTGTGGTACGTCCAAAATGAATAGGGTTTACGTCTTTTCCTGTGGTTGGTAGGAAAAATATATGTAGTAGCAAAGTCTTTTTAACCTTTCAGAGCCTCATTTAGGTCTATCGCACGGTAAACTGTCTCTTCTAAAACAAATCACGTATCGCTTTACATGCTAACTATATAAAACACGTATAGGTTAATAATAATATAATTACCACGTCGTCTCACAATGAACGCATCTCTGTGTGGAAAATGAGCATTGTTTTGTAGTTGGAGTTCCGGTTGGTCTCCCCGCGCCGCGCGTCTACCGGCTCGCCTAGTGCAGACTGGCCAGCAGCGGCATCGCTCAGCGATCTTGTGCACGAACAAAAAACACCTGTAGTCGTCAGCGAATCGCCAAGGTCGCAGGCCCCCGCGGCGCGCTTCTCTCTGCGTTCCGTTTACCCATATCTCGCGGCGAATGCACGCGCGCCGCCCCCGCGTCTTTGACTCACCGTACACCCGCACGTCTCACGTCTGCCTGTTACGCCACGGGTCAAGTCTAGGACGTTATTTTGCTTTACTTTTGTAATACTTTCAAAAGGATGCCAGAGATCCCTTTAAATTTTATGGAAATTATACTATTGTTCACCAACAATAAAATTTTAGTGAGGAATAATACTTATCACAGATATTGTCGCTCTAGTAGGTTTAATATTGAAACGTAGAACTCAGGTGTAAAACAAAGAAAGACAATATGTAAAATCAGAGTCTGATAAGGTGTTGCGCTCGCGCCGGTATTGTCGCAGTGTAAGCTATTGTTAATGTTAATTGTGTCTGGGTAGCGCGCGTTAAGTCAAGGTCGATGCAGATCGATAGCGCTGCCGGAGGGGGACAGCCGCAAACAGAATCTATATCGACATACTTCTCATGCACGTATGCACGCACGTCATGCGGATCAAAGAAAGTGCAGGAAAGTGGAAACATTCCTTGATAACGCGACAAACTGCTCTACGCTCACTGAGCGCTGCGTAATTCTTACTTATCGACTCGTTGCATCTTTTAATCTCAAGAATGTTTTCACGGCTAATGCAATTGAATTCTTGCTTCGGTTTGCACTTTCATCATAACATAATTATTATCATGCAGTAACTATAAATAATGTTGTTACAATATGTAATGTTTCCTTTGTGGGGTTTATTACCGGTAGTGTTGGTGTCCGCTTAGTCATTGTCGGAGCGATTCCCTTTGTGTAGCCCATCAATCCCGACAATATCATAATGGCTCAATTCATTCATTTCGTGCTTGAAGGCGACGGTATGGCGTTTTGCTAAAGCCTTTGTCGCATTGTCGATGGCGTGTTTTCTTTAGTCTGGTTTCGGTATTGATTTGTTGCTTTGTTGTACACGCTCTAAGAAGAAATAAGCTCACTTTCGTAGATTAATTTACGAAAGAATCTCCTCTTCTCACGAGAGGCTATCAATTACATAGACACGGGTCGTCAAGGATACGGCTTGATTGACAGGTTCTTGTAAGGTAGTTCTATGATATAGGTGCTTCCCTACCCCCTAAACTGAATGTAAATGGATACGGACGAATTCATGCCTGGCTGCTCTTAAAATTGAAGTGAATTTTATCAAACGCCTACACTGAAACCCATAAATAAGACAGTATTTGCAAGTTTTCAATGCTACTATTTTAAAGCATTTTGTCATATACATATTTGCATTGTTTGAAATATGTACATATATACCGAATATTAATCCGTTAAAACTCAGTCTATGTTGATATTTTCTTTGTATCGAATTAAAGGGTTTATTTGTTCATCTATATCGATCACGATTATTCGTTTACCGAGCGTCTCAGTATGTGGTCCAGATGTAATCTAATATCTTGTTATTGTCTTATTTATTTTTCTGAGCCTAACCCTTACAATGTACGACGTTACCCTAGCTTTATTTATCGCAATCCGTATAGCTCTCATTACGTGTTTGGTACTTGGGATTTAATAATTGTTTGAAAATTACGATATTTCATTAAATTTACGTTTATGTCAAACCTACGAACAATAAATCTAAAATAAGTCTTTAAGCAGTTTTCCCCGTGTTATTAATCACTTAGAAATAGAAACACCCAATAATGTTATAGTCTTACCCGCTTAATTCTGAACCGTGCTTGCGACCATTTTTTTATGCAATTTCAACCATTGGACTACAGTCAAAAATAAAAAGTAGGGACAGTCAGAAATCTCTTCGTAATATTTAACTGCAGGGCCCTTGTCAGTGGACCTTGAGAGTCCCTTAAGTAATATAAAATCGTGGCTAAATATGATAAATAATGTTGTGCAATATTAAAGCGTCAAGGTGTTTACACATTGTTTGGTTTAGGACCGGAAAAGTTTTTGCCGTCGATCTATGACGAACACCCTCAACACGTGCAACGGACGTCCCTATACGCACAGCCCCAAGGCCGCATATGTCGCACATTCAAACAAACATTTGGCCATGTTTTGAATTATCTACTTTGGTTGGGCACCAAAGCCCCGTATTTAAACCCAACTGCTATTTGTGCTTCGTTATCAGCTAGCAAGTTGTAAAGATACAAGGGATACCAAATATGTACACCATAAACTTATGACATTAGTACCAAAAAAGCTTAACGTTGTGTGTGTCCTCACGAGATAAAGAAACTTGAAGAAATATTTGATTTTGCGAACAATGGATGGAATGAATAAGTACCATTTAATCGCGCTAGGTTTTTCTAAGTGACATAGCGAATTTTTATATGGTAGAGGCTATCGCAGGGAGTTCGGTCTCTGAGTGACGTAAAACTTAATTACAGAAACGCGCCGCAGCCACGATCATGAAGGCCGACTGCTAACAACCACAATTATTTAGATGATTCCATTCTAACATATAACTATATTTTAGATTATCTAGTTCAATTCAGAATCATTTGCAGCTTTAAAGGCAAAAAATGTGATTATAGCAACTCGTTTTGAACATAAAATCAGATTTATTCACGTATGATTGTATGCGGACCTTGAGCACGTCGGGTGAGACCTTCACGCCGGTAACCGCGCGGAAGTTGACGGGTACATTTTTTTGTCAAATTCGAGCTTGTTGAATTTTAGTGCGCATTAGTCACTAGCTAAGCATCAGCGCCGAAGCTCGTGGCGCATTGTTGACGAGTTGCACTGCGATAGCGTCCCGTCGGGTGCAATAACAGTCGCTATCACAATGTCACTACGACGTCTGCTTTGTCCCCGGTCGCGGCTCTGACGCTTTTGTCCGTATCTCCAGCGTCGCACGCTCACTCACATTTGCACTTATTATTTAGAACCCTAATCGCTGCTACCATAATTCACGGTTTGATCTAACGGAGCGTAAATTGATCGTGACCATCGCAGTGCGCGCTAAGTTGCCCGTCACTTGTGTATCTGTGCAATTTCATTGTGAACGTTGTTGAAGTGCAGTGGGTTGATAGTAATGTGAGGATGCTTGTGCGTGGCCATGTCAGTGGCGAAGAAAGATAAGCCGACTATGTCGGTAACGGCACTTATCAACTGGGCACGACCCTTGCCGCCAGGCCAGCAGCAGCAGCAGCCGATGACGCCTACGTCGCCTGGAAGCATGCTTCAGCCGATGGCTACACCGTCTAACATACCGACTGTTGACTGTTCGCTGGATATCCAATGTAAATATAACATTACATAATTAGCTTCGGAAAATACTTTGTCACTAGACATGAAACGGCTTTCCATAATCTTGCAGACATTATTAAAAAAACACGAATTATATTGTCTACACACTTGGACTTGTTTAAAGGCTATGATGATTATTATAGCTGTTAAATTAATAGGCCCAGTTATAGAAAAATATGATTTGTAGTTTATACCTTTGCAGTTATAATATGTGTGCTAAATATGTAAATGAAGGCTAAACATATAGGTGAGCTGTTTCAAGGGTATGGATTCCGTTGTTCTATATCTGTAGATGTCTATAAGGTTTTAATTTCTGAGGAACAAAAGCACATAATAGTTTTGTCGTTAACATATAAACAAGGTAACCTAACCGCAAAGTGTGTCAAAAATGACGATATGCTCAAAACAATTCAACTGTGTGTAAAGGTAGTCACTCAGTTTATTTATATTGATGACATTATAATTACAAAGGTTAAGTTCGACAATCGGAACTGCGAGTACATTTTTACTTAGTAATTCTGCAAAACAATGTTTTTACGTGCCTAGTCGAAAAATAGATCGAAAAACTTCAGCAAAAGTACTTACATAATACAAAAAGATATGGAAACCGACTGTTCAATGTCATGGTGATAGGAATAGTGTAGCACGCTTCCGTTCTATTGTAATTCTGTTTCAATTAACATGATAGATAGTGTCAAATTATATAGCCCGTGGTTAAGCTAACACCATTTTCAATACCTTTTAGTTTTTTACACGAATATGATAAAAATCTGTTCAAGTATCGAGATAGCTAACGTAGTTTGAGCGCTATAATCGTTCTTGATACTTTCTGCCAACGCTTTGATGTTCTCTAATAAGTACGACGATTTGGAATATAAATCATTAAATTATATTATGGAGACACACGTCAAAACATGTCTAAAATAGCCGACATGTATGTAAACGCCCTTAGCTCGTGATTTTGATTGAATACTCGTGATGAAAACTAGATTTATGTGAAAAAAAAACACATTATCAGAATTTTCTTGTCCTTTTCGGTTTTTCCATTAAATATTCTACAATATTTCTGCGTTGAAGAGTCATGTAAAGTTTGAAAAGTATTCAAAAATAATTATCGGAGTCAAAATTTTAAATTAATTAAAGTTAGTTAATCAACTTGTTTTAAGTGTATTCAACAGGTTTGATTTTCTCAGACGTGAGCCCGCGCTCCTGTCTCTGTATGCGTGTGTTAAAATCTTTCTTTTCCACTGATTTTCGTTAATTACTAAGATTAACATGAAATTATACGATAGATCTCGTTTCGCGAGAGTGAAAATTGTTATTACTCGCTACAATTACATTCTCTTTGAAATAAAACTCAATTATAAAGCTAATTTGAGTTGTCTTCGACTCTTGTAATTTGCTCTAACAATGTAAAGCAGTTTTTGTATTAGATTACATGATAATTGTTTATTTATACGAATTTAGAATAAGGTTTTTTACTCAGACAGTGTGCTACCTACGTAGGTTTTTACCTTGTTACAGCTTGGACGCAATATTCTTAGCACATTTATGATATGACTAGGTAAAAAAACATTACCTAATCTAAATGCTAACTTGGAGGTCTTACACGTGTCTAGATTTGAAATAGTCTAACAAGTTTATTTTATTCATATTAGATACAGAACCTGCTTATACTAGTTGATCTTAATGCGAATATTACTCCATTTTTAATTAAAATTTAAACATGTAAAACATTGAAAGGTTACTAATTTTGGTAATACTACAAATCTTTCCATAATTTTGTTCAAAATACTGGGACACTTGGCTTATTCAATATAATGTGAATGTCTCAGTGATTGGTCTATTTGTGTGGCTTTCGGGGTCGCGAACACAGTTACTTGTAAATAAGCCACAGTAACTTATTTTCACCATGAAACAGCAATCACTTGTAGGTTTTCTTCAAAGGCTTGTAGTTTTCAAAAGTCCTGTTTCAAAGACCCCGATTGCTACTAAAGAAAACCTCTAAAGTGAACGGAATAATATAAGAATTTGACTACCACAGTTACTTGTGAATGAAACCGCCCACGGACGTCTAAAATTAATTTTTCAATGAAATTTGAAACATTAATTTCGTTGTTTGATTTAGAAAAATATTGTAATAATGAATTGAGACATTTTTTTAACAAAACCGCTTTGTCGTGTATCGTCGTTGAATATACCGCTGTAGGGATGATGTTACTTTATGAAAATTCTTGAAAAACCATTACTTTAGCAAATACATTCCATTTCGTACTGTTTTCATAGGCTCTAAGCGTCCTTACATGTGCCATTACTGTAAGTAAAACAGAAAAATATTTACTTGCCACATACACACACACACACGTGCAAAAACTATTTGAACCGAGGTTTATGAGAACACTATTTGAAATAGGCGCGTTCTAATTCAATATTTGAATTGATACTAACAGCCTTTAAAATAATTATGCACAGTTGCTTTATGTCGACCTACTCGAACGTAATGAGTTTTCTATTTTATTACGATGTGAAATAAGGTGGAAAATCTATTGAAGAAAGGTGACAGTTTAGGATATCTTGACGCGCTGTCGTCCGTAGTTCTGTTCATCTTTTGAACACACAATATCTTCCGTTAACGTAGGCGTGATACGTTTCAACTCGGACTCGGAAACTTAATAAAACTCTTTGTTACGAACCTTGAATGTTCCCAACTTACCGAGTATTGTGATTTAAATGTCAAACGCCATATTTTGAACCGTTTGTTGTAAGTAAATTATATTTGGAACTTTGAATACAATAAATATATGAAAACTACGTACCTAATACCCGAGACCCACATTTCTTTAATGTATGGAAACGTTTAGAAATTTCTATTAAGTATTTTGCAACTCTAAAATGTTTTCAAGGATATTTTTTTTCAGATAGGGGTCGAATCCTTACTAATATATAATATTATAAATCGGAAAGTGAGTTTGTTTGTTTGTTTGTTTGTTCCACTTTCACGCCGTAACTACTAAACCGATTGCTTTGATTTTTTGCAGACGTGTAGTTAGAAGTCTGGATTAAATAATAGGCTACTTTTTATCCCGGAAAAATTTATATTCTCGAAGGAAAACGAAATTATTGGTATAGATGGCGCTGTATGTATTGGTATATATCACATAGGCTACTTTTTATCCTTTTGTGACGCGTGCGAAGCCGCGGGTAAAAGCTAGTATTTAAATACAAATTGGAAAACCGCATGCCATATCAGGCCCCGGTTTTCACGTAAAGCTTGACCAAACAAACAATCATTCTAGGCTTCGATTGCTCATATTAATATTTATTACGAACATAAACACGTTACAGTTTTATGGTATAGATAATTATTTCTATTTATATAACAAACTAGTTACTAAAGACCCATAATAAAAGAAATAAATCTAAGAACTGGTCTTAGTAAAAAGGAATTTGGAAGGTCGGAAGTGAGGGATCGGACGATTTCTTGTTCTTCTGATGACGTAAGTCCTAAGTAGTCTCTTGGACGTACATTACGTAGCTACTTATATGAGAAACGGATGTGTTAGCAGTCAGGCGGCAATGTATACTTCGCTTATGAAGATAATGCCTCTCTTTGACCGACATCAAAAAGATCAAGTTGATGTTTCTTTTTATGCTCTGTAACATCTCTATGTTAAATTGTTAAATGCAGTTTTTGAGTATTATTTTTTAGTAAATGGTTTTATGTCCACAGATTGTGTTGTGTTCCTAACTATGTTTATTGTTTTCTGTAAACGAGAGAAATACATTTAATACTCTAAATAAAGAAGCTCAATTTACATATTGCAAGTTTTTGGTTAAGTGGTCTCATGATCGACTATTTATCGAAAAAAAATAATTTTAGGTCCCGGATCTTCCCGATCGTTCTCATACTCATGTCTTATGCCCTAAAAACCTAGCCGGCTTTTGAAGATTTCTCTCCATCATAAAAATAGGTCCCGGATCTGAAAATACTACCAGCAAAACTCTTTATAGCCCTTTGAAAATAAGTTAAGCCCCCTTTAACATACAACGCGGAATATTGTGTAAAGACAATGTTTATGGTAAAACGTATTTATTTTCTAGTGTTTGTGTGTATGCAATAATGCATTACATACAAACGAAGCGCTTACATATTAATAAATGGTGAATGATGTCATACTTTAATAAAACATGATTATCGATGAGGGTGTGGACTGCTTGATAGAAACGAATAATGTCCATATAGAAAATGGGTAATATCTAGTAGGTATTATATGGTCATCAGTCAGAAGCGCTATTATCAAATGGTTAAGGAATTAATTAATCAATTGATAGATAGGTATATTCCTTCACTTGTCGGCCTCTTGTAAGCTGTTTGTTGTTATAAAGTAAGTTCACCTGTTTGCGTCCACCCATTAGTTTGCGTCCATGTTACGGAAAGTCCTTTAAAAATCCCGAAAATAAGAAAACTATCATCGACCGATACGTACTAAATACTACTCATAATATGTATTTAGTACACTTCTGTTTGACCTTTTCACTTACAAAGTAAAGTTAAGTATCTTACATTCATGATGATCCGTTAAATGGACACGAACTGGTGGGTGGTGGACGCGAACAGGTGATCTTGAGTAGGATGGGCGCAAGCAGGCGAACTTATCCTATCTCTATTTACAAAATGTTATATAAACAAGCCAAATTAAGACCTCCCAAAAATACGATCTTTATAAAAATCGAAACTTTAATTTTTAAAGCGAAATACGTGAAAAATGAAAGTATTTTTCTTCTCCAATCTGATGGAAAAGACACTTAAATCTTTTTTCAATAAATCTTTAATTGGTCGTAAATTCTTAGATAGGTACATTTTGCGTGAAAGACGATATGCTATTATGTTCAAGCACAGATGCTGATATTGAAATATTGCTCGATACCAATTCAAACGTATATTTACGTGAATCAGAAATGTTGCAGTCACTCGTGTGTTAATCTTTAAGATATTACACAAATTTAACTGTAAGGTACAATATCTAAAAGACTCGAATGGCTAGCATATTATAAGACAATAGCAATGCAAACAAAACAGACAACTACCGAAGCTTGTTATCTTACCCACTTAATGAATCAGACGGTTATTAATATAGGTACCTAATAACATTTATTGTAATTGTTCTACTTGCTCCAAACGATAATACAACATTTACATTCTAAGAACACATTCCCACGCGAGAATTGCGTCACGTATGCTTTTAAAAATGTTTTAAAAACCATACAACTTTCAATGCTTTTTTATCAGTTTGAAACACCTGAACATTTTCAATCATCGCTAGCCAAAATCATTCGATAGTACACAATCGTGCCAATGGAATTAGAAAAAAATATATCTTCTAAGTAACCCGAGCAACGTTCTTTAGGAAATCAAAGGTTTTCTACTGCGCAATAGAACGAGGGTGGCTCTGTATGTTTATTTTCTTTTTTGTCTGCACCAGAAGCCCTCGGACTAATGAACCGGTTTTGTTGGTTTTTGGAACAACTGCCATCCATACCTTTTTGTTTTCCGAATTTGTTTAGTACACCATTATGTTCGAAAACGAAGCTTCTAACATTTTTTTTATTACAAACACATTGTTGTCTCTTTATGTCTTAGCATAATACAACTGTTTGCTGTAAATGCAACACATACCATGATAAATATAACTATCACCTTAGGCTTAGGTACAAAGTTGGTAAATGTGTTATAACTTGATGCACTCGTCTGCTAGTTCTAAAACAAAATTGCATTAACAACAACTACATGACGTCTATAATTAAGATTATCATTATTGAAGCAGTTCAAATGTTGATGAGATTTTTTATTACAGGGCTGAACTTAGAGAGCGGTTTTATGTCGCCGATGTCACCGCCGGAGATGAAGCCAGACACGGCGATGCTAGACGGCTTGCGAGACGACTCCACCCCGCCCCCTGCATTCAAGAATTACCCCCCCAATCATCCCTTAAGTGGTTCCAAGCACCTCTGCTCTATATGTGGAGACAGAGCGTCGGGAAAACATTATGGAGTGTACAGGTATGTAATATTAATGTCTCTTCTAACTTGTTTCAACTTAATTTCGTGACATTTCCCCAAAGTTATTATTATGTAAAGACGGTCTCGCTTCGTGTAATAATCCTAAAATATTTTGTATACCATACGTGATGTTATTATCGACATAAATTAAGTTACTGCGGAGGTGTTAGGTTTGATCTCGATATTTTAACTTAACTCTCCTCCCCCGGGCCAGATGTTCGATAGATACAAGAGGTTCAACGTGGAGTTTTTGCTTGAATTTTTTCGGCTCTCCCATCCGGCAGTAAACTAAAACGGTTTGACGCGTTTAAAACTTTGAAGGGGCTGTATAAAATGGCAGTTATATTCAAGAGTGGAAGTTTATCTATTTTCTAAAATTTAGATTGGCCAGTGAATGTTAGCCTTACATTGGCTATGTGCGTAGGTCTTTGTCAATTTGTAAATCTGTCGTAGCAAGATTCATTCATCAATTTTCGTCAGCTGTTTTGTTTCTGTGACGGCCGTAGTAGCAAGATGAGATGTTTCACAATAATAGACGAAAACCGTGTGTAAATATAAAATAGCCCTGAATATGTTTTGGCAATATACGCGTTCACCTTTCATTATTGTTTTTTAAATGCGACAGAGTTATAAATACGAACCAAATTAAGGGGTTTATGTCTGTTCAAGCGCTATTCGCTCGGGAAAAGTAAAATGGTCGGTCGTTACAATTTTATTTTTCTCTTCGTACCTGTCTGAGCAGGTATTAGATCACTCTTGGGAAGCCTAGACTTTTAGACATATTGGAATAGAATTAAATGTCAATCAATTCGTTTCGCATTCAGTTACGGTTCGTGATGGGCTTTGAATTTTTAGTATTTTAATTAAAACACCAAAATGGCCTACCATTTTTAATTTTTATTGCAATTGAAAAAAACTTGTTTCTAGATATGGTCTGTATTGATATAGGAGATATAATGCTTATTACATACGTCTACATTTGTAGGTGCGTCTATAGGAGAATCAAGGCAAGCTTTCAAAGAAACGTTAAAAACGAAACACTTTTCTAGTTCGTGCTTAAATTTCCATAAAATTTTACTATTAAAGTCCACGAGCTTGTTATTAAAACATAAAATTACATGTAATATAAAACCTGGACTTTAATTAATTGTACTAAATGTGGAGACGTACTGCGTTTGCCATTAAAGCGTAATTTAATTAAAGTTTGCGCAAATAATTGTAAAGATAATAACTAGGTATTATTAGTATATAATGGTTGTACCGTTTATTTGTTACGTTGATATAATATAGGTAAGTTGCTGGAGATGCCGCCGTCTAGACTTGTAGGTACGCTAGACTGAGTCTGTGTTACACAGGGCCCTGTGTGTGTGTGTGTGTATGTACCCGTACCTCTAGCTTAGATACAACATTTATTGGTTGCGTGTAAAATGAATATTATGTTATGGCATGCGCAAAATTAAAGATTTTACACCTTCTTATTATTCTTCAACATTTTTAATTGAAGTTTTGTGGGCGTGGGACGATCGTTTATGCGATTCGTTTATATTTACACGTTTAAAACACTAGGTGGTAACTACAGAGTGTATAAAATTCTCGCCTGGCTATACATTATTGAAACGATTTACAATTCTATCGATCAGTAGCCGCTCGTAATGCTATTCAGAACACATTTTTTTCACCTTGATATTTTTTTTTATGTTAATTTGAAAATCACGTATTGGAGGGCAGGTAGTCTGTCATGTCATGACTTTAACATCAAAGCAATCTGAATTTTGTGTCTTCATCGTTTGTGACATTTCCCTCGGAACTCGAATTTTACCTGTGAAAATCTGTCTAACATACACTAATAGTCATGGTTTCTTCCCTATTTAAACCTGTTGTTGTACATTGGTTTGTAATTAGGACTCGAGTCGTAAGTTGTAACTTATCTCTTATATCTCTTACAAGAAAATTTCAGTAACCCTGTTTATTAAATCCTTATTATAGAATCGATGGACGAAAGACTCCTAATGCGTAGTTGTGTCCACAACTAGAAGAGAGCGACACGACGCGAACGTAACCATATTTGAAGAAAAAGTGTCTACGATCTTTATTGATACAAAACACAAAGAGAATACTTATGATACTCCAATTGTATTGTTTTTGTCCTGTAATATAAACAGTTTGATCCGCTTGTCTATCGAAAACAATCCTTAATACTTCACGTCTAACGCGAAGGGCTTGATCAACAGCTTAATCTCAACAAATTCCTCGAGAATTCCCAAAATTTGTTTATTTTCGCCTCGTATAAATAATTATACGGCTATGATGAGATGTATAGAGTGTAAATTCGTTCCTTGGCACGTGTTCGGAGGCATGTACCAGTACATAGAACGCGTGTACCGCTATTTTTGTACCATAGCTTTTTTGTGATATAAATTATTAGTGGTATTACAAGATAATGTGACTGATTCATTTGATTTGATATGATTGTGAGAGCAGCTTGTCATCTTGACTGATAATAATAACATTATAATTTGGACGTGGGAGTTACATGTTCGTGAGTAAATTATAGTCGTACGGACCAACCGCCGCGTTTATTCTATAGACGGTTCTAACTACGGGAGTATGAAAGCTACCGAATTGTGGTGGGTAGAATAGAGAGGATAATCCCACTTAAAGCACTTCAATCATTAATATATCAGACTTAACTGTTAGCTCACCACCAGAAAATAATGAAAGAGAAGTAAAATCCGTATCTACAAAGCAGTATAGATATGTTGTCACAGAAAACATAAGAATGGCGACTAATCTCGACCCAGTACATTGCGAATTGCGTTGTAACCATCCCTCTCCAAGCCTGATTTAATTTAGCGTTGGTGTAACATTTATCTTTCATACGTCGCTTACAGACGTCATCTTCACATTCAACCCTTTTTTACGCAGTTTACGTAATACGGCCCTGTACTTAATGTCTTTAATCCTTGTTCTGTCTTGTCAAATTTCAAATGCTTCATTTGTTTATTTGTTCAATTGTTTTAGCAACAGTGTGTCTTTTTTAAGAAGTCAAAATATTGCACTAAAATGAATAAGCGGATGTCATACTTTTAGAAATGGCTCGGCAACGCACCTGTGACTCCTCTGGTGTTGCGGGTGTCCATGGGCGGCGCTGATCGCTTACCATCAGGTGATCCGTCCGCTCGTTTGCCTCCTGTCCCATAAAAAAAAAGAAATGAAATCCTATAGTTAGGATTTCATCTATAAAGATACACCTCAAAGTTTTTGAGAAAATCTATGAATAGTTTTAAGCTAAGATTAATTTAATCAGTCTACAATTAATTCAAGACAGCTTTACTTTGAGACATGATGTTATTAAAGACTTTTTACTTTAATTCCTAAATGTGCTGATTCAGAGGAACCCCCCAGTCTGAGATGTACAGTCTGTGAAGCGAAATGTTAATCTCGTTTCTTATAAGATGGAAGTCTAATTACTTTATTAATACTTCGTCTTTCAACACAGTTGGATAAAAAGTATGTACTGATGTACCTAATATCATTTGTATGTTGTACTGAGGGCTTTTAATGTTGTCTTTAGCTTTGATTGCCAAGACCTTAACATTTAGGATTAGGTAATTAGTTACTGTCAACTTATAAATACATTTCTGTACTATTCATAGCTTTAATATACAAATATACTAATGGAATCACAAAGAAACCTAGTTAATTAATGCACGGGTACCCTAATTTACATCGAAACGTAATATATTATGTTCTGTGAGGCAAAGGAAGCCTTACAATGGACGATCGAGTTAATTCTTTGATAGTACACGATTATACTGTACATTCTAAGTCTAGTAGTCGTGTTTTGCCAAGTGCAAAGGTTTTGTTCTCACTCCGTTGCGCAGTATCGACCGACGCTATGTAAATTATGTTAAAGTAAAGCGCAATGGATTGTGAAACAAGACACACTGTGATGGGTCTTCATTTAATATGTACTGTACTGAAGATTTTTCTAGTCAGTGAATCTTGAAATTATGCAGACTATTTTTTATAGTCTTTTGAAAGTTCTTGGCTTGGTAAAGTTGTCTCCGTGCTTGAGAGATTGCCATCTGCGATGAGTGTCGCAGATTAGCTGGCTTCAAGTGTTTCCACTTCAAGTTGTGATTTTTTGTCGTAAAAGACTAAAAAAGAAGCATTAGGATGTTAAGTAGTATGAAATTTGGTTCGCTTTAACGTGCTCTGTTTAGAAGTGTCTCCGGGGGCACGGTAGAGGCCCGTTAGTCAGAGCCAAGTGAAGCTTTTCTACAATAGCCAAGTAGAGATGACCACAGAGTGCAATAGGATACTTATAAGTATCTCGTAAATAAAGATGCGACAATTTGTTTGTATAATAGGTAATTCTATTATAAACTATGTTAAACCCCCCTTTTTTGAAGTCGGTTAATTTATGTAGGCTAAAACCTTCTCCTAAGTCTTATCTGAAAACGGCATCAAAATCGGAGATAATTGCGTACAAACATTCATACTTACATACAGGTCGAAATTAGTACCTCCTTTTTTGGAATTCGATTAAAAATAATGTATTAGTTTACTTGTTAAATGTTTACCTACTCGTTTCATATCTTGCCTGCGCTCTAAGTAAACTCATGATACACGTAAATGACTGTTGACATTTACCTAATTGCTACAAGCCCTTCAATTAGTAAATGTAATTTGCTAGTTTTATCTACCAAGTACTTATGTCAAACAATGCTTCGATAAAAACAATTATCGATTTCTATAGTACTTTTCAATACCTAAACACGATTGTAAATTGAATCGAGTAACCTTCAAAACTTTCAAGTTCGATTTAATCGTGCGCCATTTCGCTCTAGTGCCTATCGCTAATATATTTGTGTACACCTACAACCATTCATATAAAACAACACTAATTATAAAGCATTAATTAGTCCATAAAATTAAGTTATGGCATAGTTATATTGACATATTAATCGCTAATATATCACGGGGTTTCGTCGTTTTAAAACAATAACTTGCGCCATAAAAGGGGGTTCCTTGCGAATTCTAAAGAGTAGTACACCTACCTACTACCTGCCTAATTTATTGGCGTGCGTGTTCGCACACGAGTTGATTTACAGCTCTAACGTACAAGATTTAAAGCTGTGTTTGCAAACTTTGAAGAAACCGGACAATGGGTACTCGACCACGCCCGCGACCATGGTCTTAAGTCTGATACTGATATCGCATCGTAACACAGTACCTAGCTAAAACATAAACACATATGGTATACAAATTCTCTACAACATTGTGCCTGACTCATAAATAAGAGTGACGAACGCGCGAAAAAATTCATGTAACGATTCGATTTCATGTCAGCGTCTACAATTTCTAAATTGGAAGAGTAATTTACGGGTTTTATTTATATACGTAAAATCGATATCCTTGGTTGTGGTAGGTAGAGAAAGTGGCATTCGTCACGACTAGCCGATGTTGCGAAACACATGTCGAAGGTTCAAAACGCAATCATGTCATTAACGTCGACCCGAGAGAATTACATGCGTCACCGCTTGCTCCTTTTGACCGGACTCTTATTGATTTTACTCGTACTTTTATTTCATTGCACAAATCAACGAGTAATGCGCAGTTTTGCATAGGAAACATGAGTAACATACCTTACATTTATACACGTTTTCATAAAGATTTGTAGTATTCGCTCTGTAGGATTTATTGTTTGCCATAAAAGTTTTAGGGACTATATTTTCAGAGAAACGATTTAGATGTCTTTATGTTAAAGGTATTCTAGATAATATATTAAATCACCTGTGCGGAACTGCTCATGCAAGTTTTAACTTACTTAAAATGAATCGCAATGTTAATTTCAACATTTTGAAATCACACTATACCCCTTCGTGGATACAAATAGGTTTAAGACTTATGAGTACTTCTTGATCGTTGTTTTTTCCCAGCCACTCTTTCGTTTTTATGGCTATCTTAAGTTGACTTTTATGACAGTCTTGAGCTGATACATCCTTGCCATAATTTGATTGTATCAGAAATAACAGAAACAGGCACTTCTACAATTTATTTTGAACGTAAATTGGGGTTATTGCTAATTTGGATCCATTTCTCACAACGGGGACCATGTTTCAAAATAATAAAAGATGACATTGATAGTATATTATTTTCTCCGTTTCCATCAATAGTCGACACGGCTCAACACCCAAGGATAGCGAAATAATGTAGGATAATATGATCGAGTGGTCGCCGATGTCATCCCTTATTCCCGAAGGACCTGTCGGTATTATAACTGCGCAGAAAATATATTATGAACTACCAGCAGTGTTATTACGTAACAACCTCGTGTTAATATTAATGGGGAAGATAAAGTTCATTTATTTATGTGATGCGAGTAACACCAATTGAACGAAGTGAATTTGAAATAGACCACAATGTGCTAAATTGATTCGTGATGCATGCCCCGCGTCACTCTGATAGAGCAACGAATAATAGTGGAAGCATTCTTATTCAGAACGTTGCTTGTTTAAACTTTAGGTTGAATGTTTAATTTCAGTAAAATAAAGCAGGGAAACGAACAGTAGGAGAGTTTAACTAGTAAAACATTCTATGAAACCATTATATTTGAAGAGACTCCATCTGCCTGTCAACACTTGAATATAATGCATGTTTTTTGTAAAAGTGAGGGTTCTTAGATACTTCTTTTAGATTGCTCTGATGGGATGTTGAATCCCATTCTAGAGAACTTTTTTGTTATTAATGTTTAACATTACCAACAGTATACATCCTAACGATGCGTGAGTTCAGCTGTTTAACAATACTTAAGCAGCTAATAAAATATTTTCAAAGTAACCTTTGAAGCCATTATATCGAGCTAGCGCTATTACCTTTAATTCATAATTAAGTCGTATTATCGACAGACGATTTATACTGTTTCTAGTCTTTATTAATTCAAGAACTGATATTCCAAGCTGTCTACGGCTCAATCTATTTATACCATTGCTACAAGAACATGATATCGATCAATGGTAGAAACATGCAACAATACATTCCCAGTACGTCTTCACAGTCAATTAGAAGCTATGCCGTATATTAATAGTGGTTTCTTAGCGAATGTTAATGAGCACTTGATCATGTATGTGCGGCATGTGGACTGGTTTGACACTCCCAAATAATATTATTGATTGCGTACTCTGTACAAGTGATATATATCACCATTATCGATATCTTTAGAACGTAGCTGCAACGTGCAAATTCTAATTATTCTTATCTTTCATCTACATACATAATATATTATTTAGAATTACCTATTTATTTTTAGCTCTCTGCAAATATAAGTAGGTGGTAGGTGCCATTGTTTTTCCAGCTTTATGATAATTCCGACATGTTTTGTATACTTATGTATGCTCATTCAAATGTTTCTCGGTTCGAATGAAATGTAAAATGTAGTTTTTGTTGGAGAAAAATCGATTACTTTGAACGAGTGTGTTAATAAATAATGGAAGATGGTGGTTGGCAACTGGGTTGCGAGTAGTTTAGTTACCTTTATATCTATTATGCCTTGATTGTCCTTCGTGCCGGCATTAGGTTATTGCCATCTATTTAGACACGACTGTGGGCATAGGCTATTGTTCCCACAAGTTATCACCTGTCTGGGGATTACATTGAACCTTTTGTTTCAGTTGTGAGGGTTGCAAAGGGTTTTTCAAGAGGACGGTAAGAAAAGATCTGACGTACGCGTGTCGTGAGGAGCGTAACTGTATAATAGATAAGCGGCAGAGGAATAGGTGCCAGTACTGCAGGTATCAGAAATGTCTGGCTTGCGGGATGAAGAGGGAGGCAGTCCAAGAGGAGCGACAAAGGGCAGCCAGAGGTGCGGAGGATGCACATCCAAGCAGCTCAGTGCAGGTACAGGTACGTGTGTGTCATTTTTTATCCTTTAATAGATTTAACTCTAGTTTGTATTATTAACTTTGTTCTTAGTACCCTAGAAAATGATTTGCCTTTAGAAGATGCGTATTATCTTAGCTCTTCAAAGTTTATTAAACCTTTACAGCCCAATGTCAAAATTGTTTGCGTCACTATCAAAGTGTGCAACAATAAAAATTGTTTTGCAGAGTTGTGTCCGAATGAGGTGCCCTTAATTAACCAAATAGGGACTAAATGTGCCCTTTACATCCAATACACGCGTAATTAGACATTATATTTGAATGTGATCGTCCAGTTAAAAGAATTTGAACTTCAATCCTGTTGTGTTAAAGTTGAAATTAATGAGAAGTTACAACGTTCTTTACTCTTGCGCATAAAAGTCGTTGTAACTTTAGATTGGAACCGATTTTAATGGAACGAAGTATGGGTTGGTTTATGCCTAGTTTGTGCTCAAAGTAAATGAATACCAACTCGTTATTGTCCAATCGAGGATATAAAAATATGGTCGTAAATGTTAACATGTTGTAGGGCCATAAAACTTTGGTAGTTAATTATGTTTAACGAATGATGAACTTTGAATTTTATACTTAATGCATGAAAGTTGTAATTTGTTATCATAAAGACTATATAACTGCACCTTTTCATTCTTAAGTCAAACTTGTATATGTATCACTACACAGTATAAAACAAAGTCGCTTTCCGCCGTCTGTCTGTCCCTATGCATGCTTAGATCTTTAAAACTACGCAACGGATTTTGATGAGGTTTCTTTTAATAGATAGACTGTTTCTTAAGGAAGGTTTATATGTATAATACATTTATATTGCACCCGTGCAAAGCCGTTGCGGGTCGCTATTATTTGTATATATTGCTTTATTATATATATAATATAGGCAATATTGCCTATTGCATATTTGTAATATCCCAAAGATGTTTGTGCCTCTAAAACCATTTCCTGCCCGTTATTACACCCCTTTCTAATAGGCTCGCCCCTATTTATTTAGTGACTAGAATGCCAAGTAAAGTGGTTCATTTTTTATTTTTTACAAAATGAAAGGTAAACGAATTATGGAATTACGACCCTTTAAGGTTTTATTAGATTTAAATTCAATATTACTCCTACTAGTATAATTTCATTAGTAATAGCTGTTCTTTTCACATCATTTATGAAAATCGCATGAACTTATATTTAATCGTTTATGATATTAATTCATGTCGTATACTGTACTTACATACAGATATACAGACTCACACATTTAGGTCACATTTTTATTATATTTATTTTATTTATAAGTAGTGATAGTAATTTTCCAGACTTTATACATAAAGCTTTTATTATTTTAACAAAGTGATAGTTATGAAGAGGTTTTTAGCTAAAAGGGAACGTTTTTACACATTTTATTTCACATACACTATTTTAGTACATTTCAATTTAATGGAAAACCCACTCAAGAGAAAGTAAACATACGTTTATTAACCCACCTACGATAAACCTCATAACTTTGAAATGAAAAGTGATCCATATAATATATATTTTATAACTAATATCTTTATACTATTTATAGTTTACTCCCTGAAGGGGTTTCTAGAAACGTAGGTCAGTATAAAGTATGCTACACCCACATTTTTACAGTTATTTGTCATTGTAGAGGGCGCTGTCATCGCTTTTGGTCACAACTCTACATTTTTTATGGTCAAAAACGTTATATGATTTCAATGTTGATCCTGAGGCAATATCACTTTCATGTATTTGTGCAAAATAATAATCCTGAGTCTTGATAGGAGCTGTTGATAAATAAAAGAATATATTTATAAAAACATTTTCCGTTATTTCTCCAGGAATTGTCAATCGAGCGGTTGTTGGAGATGGAGTCGCTGGTGGCTGATCCCACTGAAGAGTACCAGTTCCTCCGTGTGGGGCCTGACAGTAATGTGCCACCTAAGTTCCGTGCCCCTGTCTCAAGCCTTTGTCAGATAGGTAAGGGATTTTCTATATTATCTTTCAATAATCTTTTTTACCTGTTGATTGATAATTTAGTCTTTAAGTTTAGATGTATTATATCATGTCATGCTCATACCGTTCCTGAGCGGTCCTACTGTGTAATCGTCGATAGTCTTTTGTCACACGAAAATTCGAAATTAATGATCGAACTCAATGAAAGTGTTTGTATTTCGTATTAGTTCTATTAAATTTCTGTTAATACTTACGAAAAATTTTGCCCGTTAGATAAACCACATTTCGTGACGTTTACATAAGTTTAAATTTTCTATTCTACGAAATTTATTATTTATTCTGGAAATTTATTATTCCTACAACAGGACGATTGATGACGTAACATCACACAAGTTTTTTCCCAAATGGTTAGACAAACGTGTATTTATAGTTGAGACTACATTCATTTTTAGTCCAGCCTGGTCCCATTGCGGCAAAGCCGTCGAAAATCTTCCAGACACTCGTTATTACAGAAAATATCTGTGACAATCAATAAAAATACAACTATGTTCGTGTCTCACAGTTTTTCCGATAAATAAACACTAAGATGTTAGCAGCAGGAATAGTTTAATGTATTCCGAAAACTAGTTCCATGTGGTAATCTGAATTTTAATATATTTTGCCATTTCAATTTGGATAATATAATAATTAATCCTAAATTATGGTTTGTTTTTCATCGTCGAACTTGACGAGTGCTCGTGTATTTGAATTGAAGTGTGTGTGAAAGAGAAAGGTGACCTTGGTTTTTGTGTGATTCGAGGAAAAATATGAAAAATGGGATAAATCTCATAACTAATATGATATGTGTGTTGAAAACCAATGAGATCGTAGACTAAGGAGTCCTTACTCCTTCTCCTAAGGACCTAAGGACTAAGTACCTATCACTACATAGTATAAAACAAAGTCGCTATCCGCTGTCTGTCTGTCCCTATGTTTGCTTAGATCTTTAAAACTACGCAACGGATTTTGATGTGGTTTTTTTTAATAGATAGTGATTTTTAAGGAAGGTTTATCTTCTATACTAATATTATAAAGCTGAAGAGTTTTGTTTCTTTGTTTGAACGCGCTAATCTTCGAAACTACTGGTCCGATTTGAAAAATTATTTCTGTGTTGGATAGCCCATTTATCGAGGAAGGCTATAGGCTATAAAATATCACGCTACGATTAATAGGCGCCGAGCAGAGCGAGTGAAACCGCGCCGAAGTAACTAGTATGTAATTATGTATAATACATGCATATTGCACCCGTGCGAAGCCTATACATAGATCCTAAATTACTTATCTCTTGTTGACTCCTGAAGGTGTCTGGTTTGTTTTAAGTAGGGTTTACTAATTGCTTAAAGCTTCTACTGTTATTGTAGTATTTTATATATGTTTTGTATACAGTTGCTATATTTTAATGTATACTACCTTACCATGAAGTCGAGCCACTGATCTGAGTTGGAGCATCCCTTATCTATTTTATTTTTAATTTTAGTTGCTTCTTCTTTTCTATACCATATTTTAATGTAATATCCTTGTACAGTAACGATTTAAGCACCAGCGCCATTGTTATTGGATTTATCTTAAGACTATACCTACATGTGTATGGGGCTACTTTTGTGAGACGAAACAAAACCTGGATTTAGTTGAATACTAAGGGTTTACGTCTACATACGAAACCTTAAGTAATAACCTTGTTTGGTACACAATTATTTTAACCAAACAAAGAACTTTAGCCGGTTTATGTACATTTTATAAACCAATACTTAATTACCTAACTCAAGGCTTAGGGATGACGATGCAGATCTTAATACCCAAGCCAAGGTTGCATACGCTGAGGGCTGCGTGGCTAAGGGGGTGCTTAGTCGAGAGTATGCCAACTCTGGAGACCAGGGGAACTCCAGTTTTATTTACCCTTGCCACAGTGAACGCAGGGCTCTGCTGTGGTCGACCTGTTTAGTCCCTAGCTACTCGTGGGAATAAAAATGATAACAAGATCGAAAGTAAAAAATACAATGCAGGCAAATGTGCCTCCAACAGATGTTGACACATCTACGGTGTCATTGTCATCCTCTCCGAGGTCCATTTTTTCATCAACTACACCATCATCACTCTCTATCACATCACGATCATTAAGATCATCGATTTCATCAACAAGGTCAGTGGACGTTGTAACGGAAGCTGCTCCAGCTAAAAAAAACCGTCACCCGCTGCTGACTCTAAACATACGCGAAAAAAATGGAGTAAAGAAATGAACGAATTCATTTGGCGTACATACCTCATCATCACAAATTTAGAGACTGACACTAATGCTTATTTGAACACATTACACATAAAATTCACCCATCAATTCCCAGATATGGTAGTCTCCAAACAAAGAATTGGAGATCAAAGAAGGGCTATTATAACAATAAGCTATTATCAACTACAGAACTTGATGCCATCAGACTAGAAGTAAGAAATTATCTACAAACACAGAATGGTACCATACATCAAGAAAGCAATCAATCACAACAACACCTAACAATGTCACAGACTGACCCACTAACACACACACAGTCACACACAAAAACACGAATGAAATGGTCCAACGAACTCAACGAAACACTAATTAAATGTTACTTTGAAGTTACAAGAATGGAAACGGATTTGACTATGTGGAGAAAAAATCTGAAGGAGAAATTTGTTGAATGTTACCCACACTTGTCACACCTCTCAGAACAGCGCATATCAGACCAGAAAAGAGTAATTATGAACAATAAAATGATATCAGATACTCGTTTACAGATATTAAAATTAGCCATAGAACAAAAGTTAGGTGAAAGTGTAAGTCCGAGTTCATACCAAAATACGAGTAATACAAATTCAGAATCACAAATACACATAGAAAACATATACACACAACCAACATATTTAGGCGCGGATCAAATAAATAGTGGAGAAGAGCTAAACGATAATAATGATACCTCTATAAATCAACAACCTACACTTATTAATACTCACACTGAAACATACGAAAGGAATTCTGAAATAGATGAACAGTTCACACAAGCTTTGCAATTTTTCAATGAGACACATCCAACTAATAGGTGCTACATACCTAAACAAAGAACGTCAAAAAATTTTGCAAAAATAGTAGAGTACATTAATAAAGTGATATTACCAGAACATGTTAATATAAATACCGATTTTAATCAACTGCAAACTATTATATACAGCGCTGCGTGGACGGCTGCGAAGGCTAATGGGAGTAGAGTTAATCTAGCAAATGCTGAAACTCAAATTAACCCACAGAAAGACTACAAACCCAAATGGCAAAAAAGACTAGAACGTAAAATAGACACGATTAGAGCTAAAATAGGAAGATTGACATACTACATACAGGGCCATAGAAGTAGGAAATTAGAAAAGGAAGTTAACAGGATACTTAGAGATTACAGAACACATACCACACATGAAGAACCCAATACACAACTTACACATTTTTTAGATACACTCAAACAGAAACTAGCAGTTTATAATAGTCGGCTAGGCAGATACAGTAAATGCACACTACGGAAAACACAAAATAATCAATTTAAAAATAATGAAAAACTATTTTACCGTACACTAAAAACATCAACATCTAACAACACAACATCAAATAATACATCGCAAACATCATTTCCTACGGGAGAAAGTTTGCAACGATTTTGGGCAGGAATATGGCAAAATCCGGTTTGTCATAATGATGAGGCAGGGTGGATAATGGACGAAATAAGTAACCATAACCATATCCAGCAAATGCAATTTGAACAAGTAGATATTGAGACATTTCACAATGCTCTCAAAAAGGCTCACAACTGGAAAGCACCAGGTTCCGATCATATTCACAATTACTGGTACAAGAAATTCACAACTGTTCACCCACACCTATATAACCACATCAACGATTTTATTAAAGACCCCTCTAACATTCCCTTATACATTACCGAAGGCATCACCTACATGCTGCCAAAAGACCCAAACGACACAATCAACCCCCCAAATATAGACCTATAACCTGCTTGCAAACAATTTACAAAATAATAACGTCATGCGTAGCCCATATTATTTATAAACACATAGATAGCCAAAACATTCTGACAGAAGAACAAAAAGGATGCAGAAAATTTAGTCAGGGATGCAAAGAGCAATTAGTTATAGATTCGGTTATTCTCAAAGATGTGCAGCGACATAAGAAAGACCTATATACAATGTATGTCGACTATAAAAAAGCATACGACTCTGTCCCTCACTCATGGCTGCTTCACATTTTAAACATTTATAAAATACACCCACACATCACACACTTTTTGGAAAATATAATTAAGACATGGCAAACCCGACTACACTTGAATACACCAATAGGAACAGTACACACAGAACTCATAAAGATTCAGCGCGGTATCTTCCAAGGAGACTCGCTTAGTCCTTTATGGTTCTGTCTAGCCTTAAACCCACTTTCGAATAAATTGAATTCCTTGGAACCCGGATTTCAACTTAAATATAGGGAAACGGGGACTACCACGACTATACAGACCGACCACGAAAATTGTAAAATAAATCATTTACTTTATATGGATGACATAAAACTATATGCGTCCACCCCGGAAGATCTACATCGATTAGCGGACACCACAGAAATATTCTCAAATGATATTGTAATGGATTTTGGAATAGATAAATGTAAGATTAACTCAGTCAAATCAGGAAAAACTTACACTCATTCATATCAACTACAGTCAGGTGAAAATATTGATTCTTTAGATGAAAACGGCACATACAAATATTTAGGTTACATACAAGCGAAACAGATCCTACATACACAAATTAAAGCCCAACTAACCAAGCAGTTTAAACATAGATTAAAAGTAATATGCAACACTCAGCTAAACTCCCGAAACACAATTAAAGCCATAAACACATATGCTATACCAATCCTTACGTATTCCTTTGGCATTATAAATTGGTCCAAAACCGGG